AAGTAAAGGAGGCTGTGGAGGTCAGATTGGCGATTTCTTTGTCTGGCCTCTGTAGGCGTCCTGGTTTGCTTTAAGCCGTGGGAGGCAGCGTATTATTCATGCTGACCTCTGAGCTCGAGCAGTGATGTCATAGGAAGCAAGCTTTCTTTCTCTCTCTCACACACACACAAACACACAATCAGCAGTGTGGATCTGCAGGGTGTTATCTATCTACCATCAGCAGGCCTCCTTATCAGCCTAAAACATCTTTCACAGAGGGGTGGGGGAAGCAGCAGAGCAGGCTGCGCCTCCATTAAAACACATCACAACACATTCATCTAAAAGCCATGTAGTTCACACACTTTTTCACTCCTCCTTCCCACTATTCACCTCCGCTCCTCGCTCTTATCACTGCATGCTTTTTTTTTTTTCTTTGCTCTCCCTCTGCTTTTCTTTTAATTATCTAGAGATCCCACCCCTAGCCAATTGCAAACAAAACCACCAACAACAACGTGACAACGCTGGGAAAATGGCATGCAACACAGCCAGATGTAATTACAATGTGCCCTCCATCCTCCATCGCTTCTTCCATCTCTCTCTCTCTCTGTTGCTTTCTGAGATATCAGCGGCAGTGATCGCCGCCAAGTTTTATCGCGTCTCCCATCTCAACCGCCAAAATATAAGCCCAGGGATCCAGCCTCAGTGGGCCGCCTGCCTGCCTGCCTGCCTGCTATCGCTCCATCAAGGAGAGGAGCCTTATCAGGCTGAGAGATCACCAACCGTTGGGGAGGATGACGCACAAAGAGGCAAAGACAAATATCTATCTGCTGCACAAACACCAGCTTCTCCTCCTCAACCATGGGCCTCCAGAAAGCCCTGGACTTAATCCATTGTTGTTGGGGGGGAGAAATTGAAAAAGCTATCCATGCTGTGTTGTCTTAATGCAGTGCTCGGTTGTGAGGGAGGGGGGCGTTGTTGTCAATTGTTGCTTTTCCTGTAGTTTTTTTTTTTTAAAGTTTTTTCAGGTCAGGGAGTCAGGAGGAAAAGATTCACTCCTCCAGGGCTGCATCAAGTGTAACGGTTTAAACAAAACTGTCGATAGAATATATGAGTTTGGGCAGATATCAAAACTTACTGCTGTGAAAGAGGTTTTCATAAAAAATAAAAATGGAAATAAAGATCTTCTGATAAAAGAAATTTGATACCAATGTCTGTAATCTACAATTTTGGCACTCAGTGTCTACACATTTTTGGTAACCACTCTAAGCCATTATGACTTGTTTACCTTGTTTATACATCAGAGCTCATAGTTTCTTCTAAATTGAAAGCACTTTAAGGTGTCACTTCGCACAGGGCTACAACTTTTCCCAAAAATCAAGTTCAAGTGATCAAGAACTAATATCATTCAGACCTAAACCAAGTACCCAACATTTAAACTGAGTCATTACATTTTGCAGTACCACCTCTGCCTCAGTAACAGGTGACTTTGAATGGACGGAAATGATTCATTGTAGAGTTAAAGCTGAATCCTGCTTCTATTGGCTGCATGAAGCAAATGTGCAGTGCCTCATTAGAAGATATACGATCAGCTCTTTCTGTTCCGATCTGCATGCTGATTTTGGGAATCATGATTTGTCATTTTTCAACCAATCAGCCTGCTTGACAAGTTCACTCCTGCTCCTACACAGCAGTTTAAATAAAACATGTATGTGTGTCTCTGTGCATCACTGCAGAAACTAAAGCTTTACCCAAAGCACTGCTGTATTACCTTTTTATGTGCTATTTCTATCTCTAGGGTCAAATTTAAAACACTTCATTGCATACTCTGGACTTTTTGCTTAAATATTTAATAAATACTGAGAGAACACAACTTACAATTAGTTCAGTTAATGCATCTGGGGTTAAATATCCAATATATCCAAATATCTTTAAAGCTTCCAAAGCACATAAGCAGGTCAGGAAAGTGCAACTGATCCGATCGAAACATTTGGGCTTTTACTTCGTTGGTTGTGTATTTGCATACAATCAAACTACATACGAGAAGTTAGATGCGCACTACAAACCAACAGCTCTGTGACCTGGCTGGAATTAGTCATATCAGTAGCAGCAAACAGCAGAGCACACTCAAAAACAACATGGAAGAAACACCGCATTAGTAGTGATTTTACTGGTAGAGGTAGCACCCCCACCTCTGCCGAACCTCCACACCCTCCAGCCGAACAAAGTCCTTATCATTCTTCACTAGTTCCTATCAAAATGTCTGCCAAATCACAAGAGAGTCACGGGGCTGAGAGGCTGGCTGGCCTCGACCGCAGCCGGGGCCTGGTGCACAGGGAAGCATAGTGGACCAGAAGCACTGATAAAGACGGCCATGACACCCCTGAGACACACACATACATGCACACACATACTCTCTCTCTCTCTCTCTCATACACGCCAAGTCTAGCCTGGGTTTATCAGCCTCAGGGTCTGGAATACATCTCCAGGCCCTCGCTGCTGGCTCTACTGCAGAAGCCTGCTGGGAGTTCACAGCTGATAGGCCTCTCTATGGAAACATGTGAAAAACCAGGAAGTGACAGACTATATGGACACTTTCAGGGGTGAAATCCTTATTAGCAACAAGGCCTATTGTGCTTGACAATGGATGGCATCAATGACTGTAGTGCTGTCCTGTATAGTTATGAAAGAAAGCCTAATCTTCATCTGAAAAGCACTGTGTGTTATATGTTGGTCAGCAAAAGCTATCTTGCTAATGCTAATGACAAAATACTTGGCATCTGGAATCTATCAAAAATACAGCGTAGTCCACATGGTAGGAATCAAGGAGTGGTTTAAACCTGAGATGTGTTAGCCTGCTCAAATGTGAGCTGCAAACGTTAGCTTTAGTCGTTTCGCACTAAATCGAGTATCCGTTAGCGCAAAATTTGAAAACCTTTTTTTTAACATGGTTTTAAAGCAGACATAAGTGGGTTAGAGATATTTTTAAACTATCAATAAAGTAGGGCTAATGATAAGCTAACGTCACCGTAAACAGCACGCTAACTATGGCTTATAATTAGAGCCTAAGCCATAGACTGGGTCTGCTGATACGGACTTCCATACATCGGTTGTATGTTGTCTGAGTCTGACATGAAGCTTCTTTTTACCAGACATATATTTCAGAGAACAACGCTTAGGTGATTCACAAATGGTGCCATAGAGCTATCAGACTCCAGAGGTAACAATACTCTCAGCACTGTCTGCAGCACATGTAGCATCACAACCTTTGATATACCTCCTGACATTTGATGATAACCTTGACATATCTGAACTTTGGCTTAAGCCAACACTAACATTAAGCTTAACAACTCTGCATCGGAAAAAAAAACAGGTGAAACGTGTCCATCATTTACCCATAAACTACCATGCCTAGCAAACTAACCATCTAGATCTTTTATAAAGAGCGAGACCCCCCCCCCAACTTCATTGGAGCTTTTGAGCAGTAAAAAACCCAACTATCAAACAAGACTCATTTTATTACACAAAGTGATGAGTCTGCTTCATTGAAATCATCTTTGGCTAAGCAATAAAAGTACATAAGTAGGCCTATATAGAGAGAAAAGGATCCTGTCACAGAGTAAGAGTTTTTTTTTTTTAAACAAGACACTGAAATTGATTTGGATAAGGAGCAGATTGTGCAGAGTCATGTCTACAGTTAAGTTTTGTATGTGACAACAATACCACTTGTTGCTCAACAAACTCATTAAAGAGGTTTCCAAAAAAAAAGTTGATAAGCTCAATCACATTAATTGCATGAAGCCACATGTTACATAAAAAGTGCACCTGCTCTTACCAAAGTCATTATTATTCCATAACACTGTGCTCATTATTTATGATATTATACAGTTTAAATAGGCTACTTTTAGACATCAGGTTTCTGTGAACATAGTGACACAATGATGGTAAGATATTACTATTTGCTTAATGATAACTTAAACAAACTGTCCTGCTGATGTCATGCTTTCCATTGCTGCTGTGTCTTCCAAACATCACACTCTTTCCTTCATCTTTAATCTGCAGTTTGATAACATTAAATCAAGGCCTGCTGTCTGGCCTCCCAAAGCATACTGAGGGGTTGATGACGACATCATTAATATGTTCTTCTATCAACTTTGGACATCAGTCCCCCAGTGAAAAACCTTCACACGTTTTATACACAGGAGGAACTTGTCAAGCACGGAGACAAGCCGAGCGACCAGAACAAGAAAAGGGCCTTTCAAGCGGTCCTAAGATGCATTATTGAGTTAAAAGGACAGATGAAGAAAAAAAAGAAAAAGAAAAAGATCCAATTGTAAGCAGCTATCAGCCGAAGAAATCAGCCAAGCGGCCTATCTGACGCCCCATCTCTGGAAAAGAGAAGTGAAAAGCCAGAGGGAAAATGCAACGGCGGCCTCAGACAGAAAACAAATAAAAAAAGATCCAATTTTAATCTTTATCGGGGCTCACATCGGATCGCTGCCTTATCTATGCTCACATCGGCTTTTTCAGAGAACACTGACGTTTCCACAACAGAATTAAACAGGAAGCCACGGCTACACTTTCGGCTGCCTGCCTATGGACAAAGCATTCTTTACAGGGTAATAAATGGAAACTTTTTTTTGATATCACTGCGCAGTCCAGATAGTGCGGCTGCCAAAGTGGCTCGTCAGTTCTGTGCAGAAAAAAGAGTAAAGTCTATATCAGCCAGTTATTGTGAGAACATGCTGAAGTTACTTTAGTCCTAATTCTTCTGTGTGTTCGCAGCAATATTTATCCTCCCCATAAAATAAAGTAATAAAACTACTGACGAGACAACCAGGCGTTACTTTTACGAGTCAAACTACTTATTAACTTAATAGTTTACTACAGCAGAAGCGACGCCAAATACACAAGAACTAGACTACACGCGCCCTCTCAGCAGCAGCAGCAGCGCGCGTGGCTTTCCACACACTTCTATCCCGACAAGAAAACAACACTTAGTAATTAACTTGTGCCATGCTTACGCTTTATCTGTCGTGGTTTGCTCTGCTTCCTCCGGGACATGGTGGCTCTTCCCTGGGACCAGGAGCCCGCTTGGACGGGACTGATAGACGCGGTGTGGTTCTTCTGTTGTCTGCCTCTTCTCTCTTTGAACACCGTTTACTGCTGCGACGCGGCGCTCCGATCACAGACCGGAGAAATCCGCATGACCCGCCTGCACTTTGATATCTTGTGCCACGCCAGGTAACGCAGAGGCTACCTGCGGCTTGGTCCGCGTACTTGTCACTGCTGTCCTCCTCCTCTCGCTCCCAGTCGTGCCTTCTTCACCTCACCTTTTTCTCCTGCTAACGTTATTCCTTCGCTGGGCGCGCCTCCGCTTCAGCCGCCACCGCGTCTTGTCAGCGGGCACTGTTGCCTGTCGTCAGAAATGTATGGCGCTGATAAATAATATCAGTTACATAGAGGTCAGCGGCGTGACTGTTATTGTTTTCTGTCAAGTTTCCTCACGCCGGTCCGCCCCCTTGTCTACAAGCGCTGTCTCTGAATCAGGGAGCTACTTTCAGTGGAGCCCGAGCGCTACACTCAACTCCGCTTACTACTGAGAAGAAGACGTGCCTCGGGAACACCCCTTACGTCTGACGTATGCCAACGCACCCACCCCCTATTGGTTCACAATACACCCATGTAAATCCAGCTTTTTCCCAAAGTAATGAAATAAAATAGCTAAATATCAACAGCTGTTTTACGTAGGTTACTGAATAGGCCTATACTCAACTTATTTGTTCATTCACGTTTAAATTTTTGATGTTTCTAAATTTAGATTGGCCTACTTGTTGTTGTATAGAGTGCTATACAAATGTATATACAGTAAGGAATAGGCCTATACTCAACTTATTTGTTCATTCACGTTTAAATCTTTGATGTTTCTAAATTTAGATTGGCCTACTTGTTGTTGTATAGAGTGCTATACAAATGTATATACAGTAAGGAATAGGCCTATGAAAAGTTCAAAGTTTAATTTGAACATATTTACCCTCTAAAATTCTGTGTCTGATTGTGAATGAATGCCAAAGAAGTACAGTTTAATTGTTAGGCTACATATATTAAATACTGGCAGGAAGGTTCATCATATACCTGGTTTCTCATACAGGCGCAAGGTAGGCCTGATTTGATATGGTTTGTCAAATTAAATAATCTTTTACTTTTTTCTTTCTTTTTTTTTGCTTTAGGCTACCACTTATGAGACTATCTTAAATTGTTTTTTTTAATCACATGAAAATTAAAGCTTATTTATTCGTCGATATGTCTTAGACGGTGATGTGAAAGTTATTTGATGAAAAATGTAGGATTTCTTGGGGGTTTATTTTATATGTTGTAGTGTGTACATTGTCTTATCTGGAACAAAGTGAAATCATGTGTTCTAAAGGAAGTTCTACATTTGTTGGCACTCATATTTACCAATGATTGTTACAATTGATGGTTTCCTTTCAATAACTTGATCAGTGTGTACTTGTGAAAACCTTGTTATCATACTGTAAAAATAATCATTTTTTTTAAGCATCTGATACATGATATTGTTGAGCGTTTTCCTTGCACTGTTCTTTGTTTAAATGTGATACAGACATGAGATTAGCCAGGATTTCCTTTAGCTGACTACAGGCTGCTCTGGTTTCCTGCATGGATGACTCAGATGAGGCTATTGCCTTACAAAGGTATCCACAAAGTGCCATGGCAGTATTACTGTAACATGTACTGCATGGGAGATGTTAGAGAACAAAGACAAGGATATGTATTGTATTAATTCATTTTTGTTCTAATATATAAACATCTTTTACTATAAAAATGGTTGCCTGAATAGATATAATGTGGGTACTTAATAGCTTCATTAAAGTTGAATGAAATAAATTCTATGCTCTTATTGAGTATTGAGTATTTTGCTTCTTGTTTGCCATTGTAATGATTCTTCTTCTTCTTCTTCTTCTTCTTCTTCTTCTTCTTCTTCTTCTTCTGCTTCTTCTTCTTCTTATTATTATTATTCTTATTCTTATTCTTCTTCTTATTATTATTATTATTATTATTATTATTTTATTGCTTTTTGTTTAAACCTAGATCCCAACTAGAGTTTCTACCTTGGTAGTGGCTAATTGGGATCCAAATAAAATTTTTAAAAAGCATAATGTTCAAGTTTTAATCTTTCACTTGCATAATTCATACGGTGAGAAAGTTTTTGTTAAAAATGTTAAGCCGATCAATCAGTTAAAATATATATAAAGCAAACAATTGAATGTGTACAGTGGGCGCAGTCTGAATAGTGGGAGCTTCTTACCAGCTAGACTGACTGCTGCCACCTAGTGGTCACTTTTAAAATCACTAGATTTAGTAAAAGAAAGTGTTTAGACTTAAAAAAACATAACATTCTTTATGCTCCATGGAGCTGTTCAGATCAGTAGCATTCGGACTTCTGAGAGATTTCTGAGAATAAGAGGGGATTTAATTCATGCAGCTATATCCAACTAGTTTTAGTTTATGTCAACAGGAACTGAACACCAATGCACATAGGGGAAAACCCAACAAGCAAGAGTGTGGTTCCACAGCTGCTTTAAAAAACATTTCCATAAGCGTTTGAATTAAGATAATTATTGTTCCAAAGATATTCACATAGTCTTCTCACTCATCAGAATATTCAGTGAGCCATATGCATTCATTGTGTTCCATCTTTAGACTTCCTGCAAGTTGGGATCAGTTGTTTTCAAACCAATCTGAAGGCAACTGCAATTGTGGGATAAAAGCCTGTCTTGTTTGATGGTGTTTGCCAATCCTATGTTACACAGAATATAATGGATTCACTATATCACTTCTCTGTCTAAGTGTAGTAGTATTGTTTTAATGTATTTTCACCTTAACTTTGCAACTTCTACAAAAAACATTATTAACGGCCTCAAAATATTTGTTTGGTGTTTGAACGTTGTCAAATGTTTGTGTTTTTGTATCTTCTCTTTAATTTTTTGTTGTAAGTGGAGCCACTGTGATGCAGGACACGTTTTAGACTTTGACAATAAAGTTCTATCAATCTATCCATCAATTTTTACATGTGTAATAGTCTTCTACTGCTAAAACTGGGGCAGCAGTAGCTCAGTCTGTAGGGACTTGGGTTGGGAACTGCAGGGTTGTCACTTTATGTCCCGGTGTGGATCGAGTCTGGAAATTGGTCTGGTAGCTGGAGAGGTGCCAGTTCACTACCTGAGCACTGTCGAGGTACCCTTGAGCAAGACACCTAACCCCAAACAGCTCAGGAGCTCTCGCTGTGGGCAGCCCCCTCACTCTGACATCTCTCCATTAGTGCATGTCCATAGGATCCTGTTTGTGCATGTGTGTGTATTTCAGCCTATATGTGTGTAGCATGTTCAACAACAGAGTATAAAACTGAATTTCCCCTCGTAGGATTATTCAAGTATATCTTCTTCTTATTATTATTCTTTAAATTACCCTTAGTGTTCAAACTTCTTCATATCAACATGGAAACAGTTTTGAAATTTTACACTAACTCAATTATAGATATAAATTGACTTTCTTGTATAAGGAAAGAGTTCAATAAAAAAGCAATATTTTTCATGTATAATGATGATGACCAATCCTTGTTGATAGTCAGTTTCGCCATTTTCATTATTGTGAAATTGAGTTCTTCTGCGCACAGAGCCTGGCCAGCAGTGTGTATTTTGTAGGGAACCTGCAATACAAGCAAAGTGTAGAGACTTGAGAATTGGAGTTCTTCTGTGCCATCAACAACGTACCAGACATTGCTGATGCTCAAAGAACGAGAGATTTCGCAGCAGCATCAAGCTGCTTACTCAGAGACACAGAGAAAATTGACAACAATTGCAGATGAGATTTAATCCTTGTACATTACTAAGATACAAATTGGGCTGAAAACTTCTCTTTAAGCAAAAGCACAGAAGTATTATTTTTCAAATGTTGCAATGTACATTTCAATTATCACTGATTATAAATCTTGTTGAATGCATCATTTGTTTTAAGAAAATGTCCAAAGAGAATTGCACAGTTAAACATTGTTCCACCTTGATCCAAAACTCCTCCACCAGCATCTACTGGTCTCCTGCCATCAGGGATCAGTGCAATGAAATATTAGGCAACAGGTCAACTTGCGGCAAAGATCCAGGGCCTGGAGAACATCCTTTAATGTAGTCTTTAATATAAGTCTTACAGCTTTAAGATTCCCCTGACACAGGATTCAAGGTAATGGACTTGAAGAAACCATAGAGGCTAGTTACACCTGTTCAACATGCTGTGGCAGGACAAAAAGTTTGTTTACATTGTATATTTTACAATATTTGAAGATGCCCCTTTACCAAACCACAATTCTGAAACATGTTGAAAAAAAATCTTACCATTAGGTTACATGCCTTTGTAGTGAATCCACCATATTGCAGGTTAAGATTGAATAGTTACAATGCAGCCACGAGTTCACAGAGCTCTCTATGTTTGTTCGACCTAATGGAACTTGTTCTGCTGATTATAGGAAGACAAACAAAGAAAGGTAAAGCTGACCTCTGGTGAGGGAGATTCAATCAACAGGCAGGGATCTGTTCACTGTATTTTAGTCACCTAACTGATTACTCAAATGCCCCAAGTTATACTTTTTATATAAATGATTTGCGAGGTAAATGTGGAAGTCATATATTTTAAGAGAGTAGTGTTTCACTTTCATTTATGGAAGTGCGGAAAATCTGCATTTTCTTTCTAATGCACTAAATTTCAAATTCAGTTGGTTGTAAAAGAAGTTGAATTGAATGGAGAAAATAAGCAACCTTCCTTGTTAATGAATTGCCTCATTCAAAAAATGTTCAGTCTTGATTGCAGTTTAAATTATTTTACGAGACAGAATAATGTTGAAAATGTAAACTAAACTGTCGTAACAGTAAATAGAGCAGGTTTTGATTCGCCATGTGACTCCCTGTGATTGAGAAGTTGCCATCAACCTGATTGGTTACACTAAAGGCCAATCATGTCATTTTAACTTTTAATGTATGTACATTCTTAGAAATGCCTGATAACAAAAAGAAAACAGCATTACAATTAGTAGAGAAAATTACTGGTGCATGGCTGGCCTTAGCGTTAGCTAATATATATGCTCCTGTCTACTCTTTGCTCCTGATCAGACCAGCCAACAATAAATGCACCTGTAGTTTAATTCCCATATCATCAAACTGGACACACCTTCTAAATATATTTAAGGGTTTTATTTTTATTAACTCATTCATGAGATAAAAATATGCGGTTTTACCTTTAAATCTGCATTTATGATGGTATTGTTTTGACAAAATAATTAGGGATTTGTGCATTTTTTTATTTGTGCATTTTTTTCATCCTCCTATTAAAAACCATATTTGATTATAGTTTATTCTAAATTCATTCATTCACAATCTAAAAAATAGATGTTTTGAAGTTTTAATTTCATAAACAGAATATATATTACATTTTTTTAATATTAAATCTTTCTCTAAGTAAATCATTCCAGGGGTAATATCATTGATCTTCTTTAAAGGTGTTTCTTTGGAGTTGGGTGAAATGAGGCAGTGAGGTATCCAGTTCTTCTAACTGACTTCAGGCAGCGGTGGAAATGCTGACAACAATGGGCCACTGGATCCTTTTTGTTCTTTTCTTCTTCTTCTTTTGATTATAAATAAAGGTGGGGAAAAAGCTGTTGGCTGCAGTCTTTTGAACATGTGGGTGATCTAAAACCCTACGACTGCCTGACAAATCAGAGACGTTCAGCACTGCAGACCCAAGGTCCCTGGACCTTTGGAATGTACTAACCCACTAGCAGGTTACCTCAGAACTAAACATAGACCCTCTTTCCTGAGGTCGAAATGCACATAGATCCTCAAAAGGTCCCTAGTTTCGGGGGAAAGTCCATGCAGTCGAAAAGGGGTTAAACATATTTATTATAGAAAGATTGCATTTTCACAAAAACTCAAATTACATATTTGGTGCTCTTGTTAGAAAGTTGGGCAGCAGGACTGTGCATGTGAGATTTGCCTGAAGTTTGTGAATACATATGACAATTTATTTTACCCTCTATGTCCTCCAGGTTGAAACATTTGGAACCATCTCCTTGGGTCTTATGACACCGTGAGTCAGCAAAGCAAGTCATTGAAAGTCTCTGATACCAACCAATGATGTTCTTTGCTCGTTGTTTCTTATCTCAGAAACCTATAATGTACGTGTTCAATCTAACCTAGACTATCCAAAAAGTACAACATGACATTTTAAGCATATAACAGTAATATAAAGATTACAGTTGAGTACAGACATGAGGGTCTGCAGCATTCAGCAGTGTCAGAACTGTGATGAGCTGAAGTAGTCAAAGAGCAAGACTCTGTCATTTTTGACTCAGCGGTCAGGGTGCTGTTTGTGGTGCATCAGAGGTTAAATCAATGGAGATTATCCTTTTACTGCTGAGCTGAGTTTGTGACATAAGAGCTTGTTTGTGTATGGGAGTAGTGAGTGAGGACTTTGGGGTTGAAAATGCCTACAACCTTTGATTTGTTTATATTCACAATTTAAATAGTGTGTGTATGTGCAGGTGTACAGTAGTAGGGGGTGGTCCTAGAGGACCAGGACATGGGCAGAGGTCTAATTCTCTCAGAATACACTGTAATTCATTCTGTCTTTTCTTCGAGCTCGGTCAGGATGAGAACAGCGCTGTTCTTTGTTTATCTCCTTCCTGCGCTGACAGTGATAGCTCAGGCTGCACCAGGTAAGACAACTATTTATTTTACCTCATGTCAGGGAAGGGCATTTTCATGCAGCAGCCACTGGAAATGACAGATGCATAGGTCCTTTTTTATGACTTTCTAATAACTGAGCAGAATGTGGACATGAAACAAAGGCTCTCATAAGGATAAATTATTCAAGATGAAGCAAAAGAACACCAACAACAGTCTGCATGTAGCTTTACCTCTGTAGCTTTTGAAAGGCTTTAAAAGGACAATAGCTGTATTCAGTATTTAAGAACAAACTGAGTAATCTCTGTACTGATTGCAGTGTTTTGTTTTGTCACAGTTGCTTACACTGAATTCTCAAAAAGCCTTCAAGAAGCGCTACAGTCCCAAAGTCTGATAAAAGAGGTGATATAACCCAGTAAAGTTATAGTTTATTAAAAAAAGTCCTGCAAAGACACATTTCAGAGCATATAAACTCAAAGTAGTGCAAATGCAAAGAAATACTGTCAAGTGCTTCTATCGAATACATTATGGTAATGGTCTGATGCATTAACGTATGAGCCACATTTATTGTTGTAGTTCAACAAGTGAGGCTGGTTATATTATCAATGACAAATAACTATAGCAAGTCTAGCTGTCATTAAATGTAGTAACAAGAAAAAACTCAATATTTACCTCTGAAATGTTATGAAGTCAAAGTATAACCCAGCGTTAAACTGAAATTCTCATAATACAGAATTTACAGAAAGTAATTGTGCAGCGGACAGTGTACAGGTAACTTTTCAAGAGCCTTTGAACCTCTTCAAATCAGGATGCAACATCTCGAGCAGTTATCCGCTATCAACCAATTTGATATTGCAGCGGTAAACAAATTGTGGTACAAGCTTCATCTTGTACTTAAAGTGATAGTTAGTTCTGTTTTAAGTGGGATTGTATGAGGAACCTGTCAATGATGAGTGTATTAGCCACGGGGAACGCTGGTCAGCACAGCCCCTTTATTGAGAAACCGGCAAATGATGCCACACGCAGACTTGTACCAGTTAGACTAGAGAATCCCACCTAAACACAGATGCCAGTGTAATGTAGCACTTACTTCTGTAAGAAAGTCTCATTGTTTGCCACTGCTGGGCAAGGCCACCCCTATGTGGTGGGAAGCTCTCCGGGGTCAATGGTCATGAGCTTTGGTCAATGACTGACAGAATGAGATTGAAGATACAAATGAGTTTTCTCCGAAGGGTAACTGGGCACATTCTTAGGGATTGGGTGAAGAATTCAGACACCCACTGGGAGCTCTGAGAAGAGCCAATAGTCCTTCACATCAAAAAGAGCCAGTTGAGTTAGTTCAGGCATCTGATTAGGATGCCGTCAAGATGCCTCCCTTTAAAGGTTTCTTTGACACTACACCCGGGGTAGACCCAGAGCTCACTGGAAGGATTATATATCTCATCTGGCCCGGGAATGCTTCTGAATCCCCCAGAAGGAGCTGGGATATGTTTCTGTGTTGAAATTGCTTATCCTGCTGTCACGATAGATGGATGGATGGATGGTGGGTGGATGGATGAAATATTTCACTCATCCATAGTGTAATGATCATTAAAAGCACAAATGATGTTCACATTGTGATGACCTATTTCTAGATAATTTAAAATCTCTTCAACATAACTTTGGGAAACAAAAATGTCTGGCAGTCCTGTAGAAAACAAATTATTTTTCACCCAATAACACATGTGGACTTTGAACACAAACTTGTATCTTCTGCAGGGAGCAACAACCTTGTGGTCGCTCTGAAAAATGGTCAAATCCGAGGGGAATACACAACGGTGAAAGGTACAGACAGGAGGGTGAAACAATACCTGGCAATACCCTTTGCACAGCCCCCTGAGGGGCCCCTCCGCTTTGCTGCTCCACAGGATGCAGAGCCCTGGGTGGGGGAGAGAGATGGCACTCGCCAGCCTCCTATGTAAGACTTGTTAACAAAAGACACTGAGAATGAGAATTTGATGATTTTTTTCCTCCCTCTGGGAGACACATGCTCCTTTGTTTCATTCTCTCTCTTTCTACCTCAGGTGCATCCAGGATCCTGAAATAGTTGCCAATGTTTCAAAAACCATGTCAATGCAATATATCCAACCTGAGCTTTCTGAGGACTGTCTGTATCTGAATGTGTACACTCCAGCTGATGTGACACCAGGTGACAAACTGCCGGTGGGTTAAAGACACAGTTTGTATGTACAGACATGACCAAGATATCATCATGTCCATTACTGCAAAAGAAAGTAACTATTGTCTATATGTACATACATCTATTGGGTCTTTGCTTGAAATGTAGACTGCGTTCAGTGTTTATAGCAATTGTGAAACAATGTCTCAGTCTTCTTGATTTATTTGATTTAAAAACACATGTCACTGGGTCAACCTTTATTAAAGGTAAAGGTCTTGATCTTCCTGTAACTGGTGTCCTGGATCTTGTAATCTCCCAATCATTATTGCATATTTTTTGTGTTGTGTTTACTTCTGATGATAGTCTTCAAAAGAAAAGATATTAAAGTTGTTAATGAAGTTTTCATAAATTATCTGTCCTGCCATCCTGTGATGCCTTGATAAAATATTGTTCTGCCACCTTGTCTAAAAATATTGCTCCCGAAAAAACTGCAAAAATCCATAGACTATCCAAAGCACCTCAGAGAAATAGTCTGAGGGGAAAAAATAAAGATGAAAAAGAGATTCAGCCATATAGCTGTACAGAAGTGGAGAAAAAGATCTTTAAAAATGCACTCTACTGTTATTTTCAAGAAATGAAATCTGCCAGACATTTTAACACCTCTAACTTAATTAACAGAAATCAAAATAATGCATCATTTGTTATCAAATTGACAAACTGATTAACTTGTCGAAATTTACCCCTGCTGGGCTCCTTTCTAAGGTCAAATGTAATTTATTTGGTGTTTTATTTCAGGAAGAAAAACAAATATTCTGAGAGATGATATATCACTTACTAAAAGCAAAACACCTGGTTTTATCAAACCTTTACACAACTTTATTGCCATGAGCTCATTGTTGACTTTCTCCCCGATTACCGAAAAATATCTGGAGGAGTTAATTCAGCGTCTAAAATCTTGCACTTGTTCTCTCATTCCTCTGTGACTCACTGCTTCATAAATTATTTTGTAAACATAATTAAAGCCTCTCTACAGACAGGCATTCCTCCTGCTTCTCTTAAATGGGTATAACACCACCGTTGCTGAACAAAAACAACTTGGATCCATCAGTTATTAATAACTAAAGATCTGTCTTGAATGTCCCTTTTATAAGTAATTTACAATCAATTGGAGAAATATCTCCCAACTCACACATAATATATACCAGTCTGGTTACAGAGCAAATCACTTGGTAAAGTTATCAATGACCTTTGACACTGTAGATCATGAAATCTTGATATAAAGGCTTCATGAGTCAGTTGGCTTGGCAGGTCCTGTTCATGACTGGTTCTCATCTTATCTAAAAAACAGGCATGTTTTGTTTCAACAGCCAATTTAAAATCTGAAAAAAAAGTTCTACATGGGGTTCCACAAGGGTCAGTTTATGGGACGCTGCTATTTAATCTATATGCTCCCGCTTAGTGAAATCATGAAGAAACAATTGTATGCCGATGACACACAGCTGTACATTTTACTTTCATCTGGTAATCTCAGTCCTGTTGACCAACTAATAGACTGCATGTTGTCGTCACTTATTCTGTTACTGGCAATTTAATGGCTTGAAATTCTTTCTGTCGAGAGATCATCGTTTAACAACAGTCTACTTTGTTCTGTTCTCTAGGTGATGGTGTGGATCCACGGAGGAGGTTTGTCAATGGGAGCAGCTTCCCAGTATGATGGTGCTCCATTAGCTGCTTACGAAAACATTGTGATGGTCATAATTCAGTATCGCCTCGGCATCCTGGGATATCTTAGGTAAGGAAATGTGTAGCTCATTACAATTCTGACACAGCATTGAATTCAAGAAATAAAGCGGTGTGGTGACTTTTGCTTTTCTGAAGCACTGGAGATGAACATGCTCAAGGCAACTGGGGTTTCTTGGACCAGCTGGCAGCTCTGAGATGGGTCCAGGAAAATATTGAGGCATTTAATGGGGATCCACTAAGTGTCACAATTGCCGGAGAATCTGCAGGAGGCATCAGTGCATCCATACTGGTAAATAAAAGTAATCCTAGAAAAAATAAAACCTGTTCAGTGATATATTTAGCCAATTATGTGCTGATTGTTAACTCATTCATCCATGTTTAAGTCCAAGATGTGAGCACTGACGCTGTCCTTTATTCATGTTCAGGAGCATCTTAAATGTATGATCTTAATGTCCATTTTCAAGTGATTGCATACATTTATTTCTTATGAACAGACTCTGTCTCCACAATCTAAAGGACTGTTTCAAAGGGCGATCTTTCAAAGTGGAGTAGCAACACTTGGAACCTACACCACCAGCCATCCTTTGGCTACTGCAAAGGTAATATTTGTCAAGCAAATGCTCAGTGTTTACAACATCTACTGTATGTGGAGTGTATATATTTAAAACTGCATTATTTGATTTTGTTTTCGCAACATGAGGAATTAACAGGAATTTTTCAGCGCTTGCATAACACCACTAGAGCTGTGTGGTACTCTTTTCAAGTCTGCTTCAAGACTTTGTCTTTGCCACTGGCAGGCTGAGATTGTTATAGGAAGTGATAGAGCTTCATTTTAAAGCTCCTGTATTGAACTTTTAGTTTGTGTCAATTTTGGTGACCTCTGTAGACACTACCAACTGTAAATCTGCATATGACTTAAACATACCATCATATTACATATCGCTAAATTAACTTGCAGACCACTGGAGTACCTAGACAAGGTAAACTAGGAAGAACAGATTGAAACAGCAGTAGAGATTCATTAGACCATAAAATATGTAATGTCGGGACTCAGTTTGAAAATGTATCACAGCAAACATGCCGCATAGACTTTACTATGTCTTCAATTGCAACTGTCAAAAAACAAGTTGCTTAGAGTAAGTATGTATCGGAGTACCAGAAAAGCCAACATAGCAAATGTGATAAATAGGAATATATATATCTTTTGAATGTTTGGTCTGTTTAATTTGTCTCTCTTTTGCCTTATAGTTGACTTTGCGCAGAATGAAATTTAGAGTGAAGCATGACATTTCTCCTGCTGATTAACAACAAAACAAAAAATAACTCCTGAAATCGTTTAGTGATTTTTTCTTTTATCCGAGAACTCATATATCTCTTCCTTGTACCTAGATGGTTGCCAACCTGACTGCATGTGACCGCAGCAGATCAGAGGAGCTGGTCCAGTGTATGAGAGGAAAGAGTAAAGAAGAGCTAGTGGATGCGACCAAAAGGGTAAATAGTCCTGTGAAGATCTATTTTACACATGTCATTAGCCTTAGTTTATTGAGCTGATTGTATGTTTAATTCAGTTTTGTTTGGGGCTTTGGATCAGTTGTAGAGTTGTTCATCTCTCCGTTAGTTCCCCGGCTCTTGCAGCCACTTCGCTTCATTGGCAGCGTACAAATGTGTATGAATGGGATTAACTAATAATGATGGTCACTTTACATACCCGCCTCTGCCATCAGTGTGTGAATGGGTGTGAATGGGTAGGTGTGACCTGAGTGTAAAAGAGCTTTGAGTTATCAGAAGACTAGAAAGCAATATACAACCTCAAGTAAATTTACCTTTTACCAATCTCTGGATTCTTCTGCCTTTACCTAAACTGAAAAAAGGAGGAATTTACTAGTCAGTACATAAAGTACCACCACATTAAAAAAAACTAAAAGGATGGATTTAAAGGTTGTGAATTAATGTACATTTATTGTATGGATTGAAGCGTTTGTTTTGTTTTTTTGTTTTTTTACAGATTTTTTAAATAGAACTTCAGACTGATCTTAAAACTGTTTATAAGTGTAATTTCAAACTTCTGCCACAAGATGGCACTGTTGTACAAGTTTGCTGTCCCTTCACCTGGTTGTCCAAAATAACCCTGATGTTCAAATTAAGTGAATTGAGTCTTTAATATAGATGAGGATTTATCTGGGCGCCGTGGTGGACGGCGTGTTTCTGACCGACCTGGCTGAGGAGCTTCTGAGGAAGAAAGAAGTGATGAAGATCCCTGTGATGTTGGGAATAACCAACCATGAGTTTGGATGGATCCTGCCTCAGGTCACACATACAAGCTCATCAATGCTTTTCCAGATATGATCTACTGTACCCAGCCTCTATGACTGTCTTGGTATTAAAGGATGTGTTCTTCATCCTGAGCTCTATCTCCTGTGTGTCACAGAGCTTTGCCCCTCCTGGCTGGGAGAACGGGATGAACAGAGAGGCTGTGCTGGCTGTGGTGAATATGTTCAATCCTGCTGGGGTAAGCACCATAATAACATTTGCCACATGTTGATCATAATGACTGATTGATTGGTGGATTTATATTAAGCTTGAACTTGATTTATATATTAATAATATATTACAATGTCTTACTTTTATTTGTCCATCCTTGCTAAATGTCAGACCTGTTGGAGTTAGAGTACTGATAGCTAAGTTTCAGAACTTTTGACAAGTACATTTTCTGCTCCAAAATGTTAAGTTAAGTTTAATCAGGAGAATGTTACATTATTGTTAAACTTGAATATTGGGTATATTTATCTTATTTGAAACTCTTTTGATTCTTAAACACAGTTTTGACAAGCAAATATTTATGGTAGTGTTTGATTTTGTGCTGTGTTGTTGTTTGTGTAATGCTACATGACTCTATCACTGTAATGAAACAATGTAAACTGAGACAGGAAGAAGTGAGCTCATAATGTTGGATAAATAGAGAGAAAAAACAGGCAGATTGAAGTGGCAGAATTGCTTAAAAATCATTATCATTACAAATCCCAAATTATTATATGTATGCCCTGATGCATATCGAATAGGAGATTCTTGCCCATATACAGCATAGCCTTGGAATCTGATGGTCCAACTCCTCTTCTCGGTCCAGATCTCCACTGCAAACAGCCTCATGGCAGATGAATACCTAAAAGAGGCTAAAACTCCTGAGGAGATCAGAGACGCATTCACAGAGATCATTGGAGACCTGCTGATGACGTTTCCTGTTGTCAAGGTGGCCGGATACCACGCAGGTCAGAGAGGCTCTTTTAAACAAATCAAAACAAATGTGACTTGTTGTCTACATTGCCATTGGAGCGCAAGTTGATCCAAAGCTTGTCATGCAGTGGGAGGAAATCTATCAATGCTAGTTCAATTTGTTGGTACAGAATATAGATTACTTGATGTTATTTAGATCTGGTTTAAGTCACCTCATAGTTCAATTACTCTTGACCTCTGACCTCTGTCTCAGCACTCACATCTTGTCCTCTCTCGCCTTTGTGTGGTCAGATTTGGATGTTCCTGTCTACATGTATGAGTTTGTGTACCGTGCTGGGATACACAGCGACACCAGGCCCAGCTTTGTGAAGGCAGATCACGCTGATGATGTCGGCTTCATGTTTGGCGGCTGTTTCTGGAACGGAGATATAAAAATCATTGGTAGGCTATGTGTAATATCTCATAGGCTCTTCTGCTACTGTCTCTTCTCATTACACGTTTTCAGGGCAAACTAAATGTGAGTTGAATGAATGAAGGTAAATGTTGGTGACCTTGAATCTGCACTACAAAATTAGTCCATTCAGATCATGTTCAATGGATAATAACATATTTGATTGTGCGGTTAAACTCTTCCTGTCCTATCTTCAGGCAATATTAACAAGGAGGATGAAAGTCTTTGTAAAACCATGATGGCTTACTGGGCCAATTTTGTCCGCAGCGGGTGAGTAAGCATCGAAGACTACAAAAATCAATGTTTTTAAGTCACTCTCGAAAGCTTTTTAACGTCCTTAAATTTACATTGTCAGTCTTCAGTTGAACCAATTAAATGTTAATGTTTCTCTGTGAGCTGGATTTTCTAACACAAACACTGATAGCAGCTTTATAATGTTTATATTTATAGAGGTTGTTTGATGGAAAGTTGATGCATATTAATACTGGAAACAATTGCAAGTACAGGCTTTGAAAACATTTATTAAAAAGTCCACAAACGTTGGGAAGCTGTGACTTAACTTAAATTAAATAAAAAGGATGTGGTCATTTAAAAATTAAAACAGTTGGAAAGCAACTATTGAAACATCAACCGGATACTCTTCTTCTGTTTATATACCCACAATCTAAAAAATCTATTGTGGAAGGCCTATTGTTAAGTTGTTAAAAATGAACACAAATACAAATAAATAATCTTATATAGCCAATATAAAGATATACAGGACTGAGCAATGGGAAAGTGATCCAGATTTATGGAAACGTTTGCATATTGTCAGCAAACATGCATAGACAATATTTAGATGTTTTGTCGTTGCATGGACTGCCCTGATGTCTATTAATGTCTGAATATCCCATCAGCTCCCCCGATGGTCCTGATCTGGTCAGCTGGCCTCAGTATGACAGGCAGACGCAGAAGTACATGGAGCTGGGTCTGACGCAGACGGTGAAACAGAAACTGAAGGAGGACAGAGTCAATTTTGCCACCGTCAGACTCCCTCAGAAGCTGGAAGAGTTGGCAGCAGCAGCATGAACTGGAAACTGACCACTCTCATGTTTTTGTATTGTTCTATATGTTTTAGAGTTAAAATACCCTATGATTGAAACTAACTAATCAAACAATAATTTTCTGTTTTGGAGTGGGTCTTCTTTCCTGAGCCCTTAGCAATTCCATGTTAGTGTCTTTTTTACATTTGTTTTGTTTGATAGTTGTGATAAAGGAACTAAATTGCCTAAGTGTCTCTTGCTTGCAAATTTTGGGAGGCAGCTTATTAGAAGTGTGTTGGTGAGTTAGTGAGACATTTTCCATACATTTTGAAATGAAACCAAATTCCCAATTATAGATAGATGTACCTATTGTTTTCAAAACTACTCAAAGTGTGTGATATCTGTCTTTATAGAATTCCCTGTGAACAGGTAGGCTATAATACATCATCATGTGGTAGGGAATAGGCCCCCCGTTTCTGAGAAAACTTTGTATATAGGCTTGATATATTATTACAAAGCACACTTCCTTTTACAGAAGTCTAAAAAAAACCAAAAAACGTAAACAACAGAGAACATTTTACCATTTTACTAGAAATCTCCTGTGAATCATTTGAGTAAAGATACAAAAATGAATGATTTTGATTCAAGAAAACCTTTTGCCTATCGTCAAAATTTCAATTTCCCCGAAATTATTGGGTTTTTAAGGTAAATGGAAACACCATGCTTTTATCTTGAAGGGCATAACCATTAATATTAGTTCTAGCTTGACGCAGCAACGCGGCTGCACAGGTCGCTCTGATTGGCTGTGCTGATTTCAACGTCATTGGGTTCCCCCTCGTCGTGTTCGCTTTTGTTTGCGCATGCGCTCTTCTGTCTCCAAGACCACAGTCTTCAGCAAAAGCGACGCACTATACAGCACTGAAGAGCAGCGTCTTTCTGCTGTCAGCGCGGGACCTTTCATGTACGTACAGCTGTCTATGTCGTTGTCTTATGAAATATACATTTACACATCCGAAAAGGTATTGTTTTCCCACTTTTAAACCGCATTTCTCATTGGATTTCTGCCTTCTTGAATGTTCCTGGGGTCGAAGCGGAGGGTTATTATCTTCTGGTCGTGATGTTTTCGCCTTTATGGATGAATTAACGGTGTTTTGTTTGTGTCTACGGCTTTACTTGTAGATACACCTTCTCGACTGCCGTGGGGTATCCCTGTTTTCCCTGTAAAGCTAGGGATTAACATTGTAGGAAACGTCAGCCTTTGCTGTGTTTATTCAGTGCTGCTTCCTATCTCAGCTGTCAAGTGAGCCCAGCTTCAACTCATTGGTCAGCATTTGTGCTACATTATAAGCTAAGGTGTGCACTGTGAGAGCCAAAGCACCTGTTTCTTGCTTGTGTTTTAACTGTCTGTATCTCAATTCAGCCTCAACTGATTCCGGTTTCCCTCCAAGAAGACAGCGTAAACCTAACTTCACTCTCCAAGGTTGTAATAACTGAGTTGCCTTTAAAACAATTTGGAAAACAAAGCGTATGTATCATTCATCAAGTGCATTTTATTTGTAGAAAATGGGAACTTTCAGAGTTAAAGATGTTCCGTCTTACTAAATCGGCCCTGCACCGTGGTCTTTTTGAAGTGCGTTTTATTCAATATAATGAATTCATGACAGACGATCTGCTTTATACTAACTCTACGTATACCACATTGGAGAACAGCTCATTTTGATTTGCAACGAGTACTTTATCATGGTTTAACAAGTAGGCTTACTGATAATAGGCTATATGCATTTTAAATTATTTTATAAACTAATGAGTCATGACGGTCTAGCCATATATTCAAGCATATGGAAGATAATCTAAAGTAGTAGCCTAAATAATGAGACGAAATGGTAATGAGCAGGGAGTTCTGCACACAAACAGGAGACATATCTGTGTCAAATTTAAACAAACCCAAAAAAGAACAGGAAGTTTTAAAGTTATTTTAAGCAATCATGATTCCTACAAATCCCCATACCACTTTGCCTGTTTTCACATTCCTGGCATAATATTGCTGTAGCTTCAGCTCCTTGCCAAATAAGACTGTTTGCTGTTATCTGAAAAGTGCACATGTGGGGGAACTTCCTCCCAGGTTTTGTACTATCCAACATGGCTCATTTAACTTGGCTCCAGTTCAGTTGACCTGATGTGCATTTTCAAGGCAAAAAAAAAAAAACAATAGCAGGGACTTATTTTTTTAAACTCTTTCTGCAAAAAATGCAGAAAAGGCTTGAAATATACCCTGGCTTCCATACTCATTGAGCATGAATGAGACTGGCAGGAATTTGTCCACACTCATGTCTACTTACGTGTAATGTTGCGAGGGGAATGCAACATTAGAGATTTTACATGATAAGCGTGGCAGCGGTGATACTATAGAGAGTGTTGTCATGTGTGCTTAAAAACCAAGCCATGATAGTGTCAGAATGGCACTCTTGAAATCATAGCTTCATGTGATTTTAATGACTTGTTTTATTTGTGTAGCACTTTCCGTAAGATTAAAATGTCAAAGTGAGTAATCGTAGTAATCGGTGACACAAAAGAAAAGAACTGAGAGACAGTGACGTAAACAACAAGTAAGAATAGATAAGTAGTCATATACCTCTGCTAGTAGGCATGAACTGACAGACAGTGCTGAGAGTATTGAAAACCATAGCATCAAAGCGCTCTGCTCGACAAACTGTCTTTTCTAATTCACTTCAAGCATTGTTTTCTGAATGATATGTTCTGTACAGTGATTTTAAGAACTGTTTATCTTTCAAAACTTATTTAATGTTTATTATATTTAATAATATTTAACATTTCTGTGTAAATGAATAATATGCTTAAAAGACTGTCGATGTCTATCTGTATAGGGCTAAAGTGGTGCTGCTGTTTTCCGTCTCTGCGAGTACAAATAGTCCCTGAAAACAGTTGGTGTTGTTGTTTGGTGAGGTTTGCCTGTGGTGAGGAGATTATATCTGTGAGTACAGTCCCCTAGCTGTTACTGGCCAACATCAGCCGAGGTTCAGCACCTAACTTATCAGCAGCCACTTCTCCTTGTCACACGTATTCAATGAAGCATGTGATGGGAGGTGCTCTGGCACTGTGACACGGTGCTTTTAATTACATATTTGACAATATTATGTTCAATAAAAAAAATGAACTTGCTGTGAAATGAGAAATTATACACATTTGACTCAGTGATGGGATTTTCTGCATTCAAGCTGCATTGTAAAAATATGACTTTATTGCTCCTGTCAGTCATACAAGGCTGCGAGAGAGTAGTTCCCACTTACTGGTGACAGAAGCTGATAACAGCTAGCAGCAGCCTTTTATGCCTTTAACAGGTGACTCACACAGACACTTCCAACTGATATTGTTTACCCTTATTTGGCTTCAAAGTGCCAAAGCTACTCGGAAAGAGGCTTCGGTCAACTTGACATTCCTGCATCCTAAATGCTTGTCTCCCTTCCTAAAGAGTGTTTGAGTCTGGTCCAGATAAACTGAAGGTCTGAAAGAATTCAGTGGCAGTTTGAAGTCTGACGGGTCAAGGGATAAACTTTTGGTTAGGAGAGATGTCGGGGAATAACTCTGGCTTAAAGCATACAGTTTGGGTGACTGACTCTGAAGTTAGGACAGTAAAGGTGCTCTTACCATAACTGCATTGCATTATGCTCTTGGCAGTGGGAGTATGCAGGAGCTCAGGTGTGAACCAGCAATCAGGGAAGAAAACTAAATGTGCTTAATCAATGCTAAAGTGAGCTCCTTGCCTTAGAATTGGAACTGCTGTTAGCAGGGGAGTTGTAGTCATGATTAATGTTTCATTCAAGCCTGTAATCTTAGTGAGTAAGCTAGCTAGCTAAGTAGACTATGGATTCATATATTGGACATAAAGTGTACAAGAGAAGTCAACCTCGTCTGCCATCTACAGAGAGTATAATTGGAGTTTAAAAGGTCTTGAAAAGTCATACATTTCGGGGCGGCGACTGGCTTAGCAGACTAGCAGTTAGGTCGCATCTGCATGGAGGCTAGTTCTACAAGCGGGCAGTCCATGGTTGGAGTCTATTGTCCTGTCAAATTATGGGATAAAAAGCCAAAAATTTAATCTTTAAAAAATGCATAAAAATTTTGCCTTTGAGAGACTTGAGGTACCCTTTCCTAGTTCGGTCTTTCTGTCAGTATTAATATTTAAAGAGTCAAGAGTCAGGTTTATTTCCAAGTAGGTAGAAGACGGTTTGTACTGTGCGTAACCGATAACAAAGAAATAGAATACAATTAAAATGAAGTATAACAGTGAGTCTTATCATTGCTAACCATTAAATTAACATAAACCTGATGCATCTACATCTGACTCCTATATATTACATGAATGCACATTCCTGCACAAACTGTAAATCTTTTTCAGTCAAGAAAAGGCAGACTCTGGTAAACTCTGGAGATTGCTAATAAGAATTCCAGCAGAGCAAGAAAAGAATCACGTGAAGTCACAAGATCAGACACTGTAAACAGACCTCAGGCACGACAAACGTAAAGACAGTGGAGAAGTCATAGTATGTAAGCATATACTGAGGCATTATCACAAATACAAACATTTCTGTTTGACCTGTCAGCTGAAGCTGTTTTGTTGAGCTTTGCTGTGGTGACTGTCACAGTCTCACTTTGAGCCTTCATAGGACTCTTTATAGCATGACAAGCAAATAAGTTAACAATGTATCAGTAAAAAGCATGTTTAAGAGACTGAATAGCCTAGTGGTAATGTAGCGCGCCCTATGTACAGAGGCTATAATCTTCGTCTTCACCGCACCCCCCCCCCCCACCCCCCACACTCTCTCCTCTAAACATTTCCTGTCTCTCGTCAGCTGTTCTAAAGGCAAAATGACCCAAAAAAAAATTTGAAAGAAAGAATTGAAAATTGAAGGAGCCAGGGGGAGGTATGGGAAACAACCTTGTTAGTCCAAAGTATCAAGAACGAGTAACACAAAGAATGGACTCACTGCTTTTGTTTAAACTGAAGCATCCCAGTAGACACAACAATGGAAACAACTTTCAGTCTCAAATTACTGAAGGAAGCCAAAAGGATTGTGGGTCAGTGAAGTCCCTAGTGTGGTGTTGGTTTCTGCAGGCAGCTTCAGTTAGGCAAAGCTTTGTTTAGGAATGCTACAGAGGACACTTTGGATAATGGACTAGTGGGCCATTATTGGGACTTTGAAAGGACCTTGTTCACATGCTGAATTGATTTTCTATGAAACAGTATTTGACATATAAGAAAAGGTGATTAATGGCTTTGCATTTGCTGCATATTGCTCATAAAGCCGGGGTGACAGAGATGGATGAACTGCGTCACCTTGAGTGGTAAGGGTAAATGCACCTCACATATCTTGCTCTACTATATATATATTTTTTTTTTACAGATGAGTGGGCTGAATAATACTTCCTGGGGGTGGGAGAGGCTCAGGGGCGCGTTGAATAACAGCACCAACTTTCATGTGAGAATCATGCAGCAAAACACAGAGGAAGAGAGCAGAGACCAGGACGGGTCTTGTGATGTTTGGTGCATAGCTGGCAGCAACAAGCAGGGATCCTCTACACAAAATCACACAAAGTACTGTAGTATCACGTAAGCCCCTCCCCCTGCGCACATCACATGCAGGGATGGTGTTGATGCGGGGGCAGGTTGTGACTGTGTGTCTTTGAGGGTTTGTGGGGGGCTCCCCCTTCCTGCTCATGGAAGCAGAAATACTGCAGCCTCTGCAGTCAGAGTGAAGGATTTACAGAGTCCTTTTGCATCTTTGTGTGCGCGCGTGTGTGTGTGTTTTTGTGCCTTCAACTTTAGTGGCCGTAGCAGGACAGAAAGACAGGACACATTACTCAAGCCAAATGGCGTCACTAGCCTGCAGGTGATTGTACCTCTGCCATCCATCCCCAGCAGAGAATCATGACTGACTGAGGCTCTCTGCTGCTATCTTTGATCAGCTCAGGCCTTTAAGAATAAAAGCTGTGAGGGTAGAACTACATCCCAGCGACATTTCACACTTCCAGCATCACCAGTAAGACTGAGCCACATGCTCCGTCACCATATTGGAACCTCACTGCCTCTTCAACAAAAAAAAAAAAAACTCATGGTGGGCTTATTAAGAGCAAGAGTTCCTGTACAAAAGAGAGGAATGGCACATGCACAACGTCCCAACAAAGAAAACTGTATCTGTGTCCTGTTTGTTGACCCTGCACTCAGGATGTTGAATATCACGGCAGCTTTAATCACAAAGACTTTTAAATGATAATGCCACAAATATGCTGATGCCTTGTAGATGTCAGATGACCATCAGACTTTCTCACATAAGTCATTGTGGTGAGTGGTGTGACAGCTGTAGCAGGAGGATTCTGATGATGTGATAAAACAGCTTCCGGTGTTGAAGCAGTATCGGCGAACAGCATAGAACTCCTGACTGGAGCCTATTGGAACCTATTTTGAATTTCTTTATAGACCAATACTGAAAATGAACAACACTAGATCATGTGTAATAAAGCATGATTAGTTCTTAAGATGGAATGAAAACAGACATTTTGCTTGTGTCTGTTCTTTATGTACAGTATACAGTGCTAAAGCTGTATATACTATGGAGTGTTCTCTCTTAAAAATGCGAGTGATGACCCCATTTCTTCATCACCCATTAGCGCTGTTTCTTCATCATTTCCTGTAAAAAGTTTAAATTTCAGCCAACTTAAAGGCCAATATCAATATGTCAGTGGGAAGACAATATTCACCGATTTAAAGATGTCTGTTGGTTCTGTAGCAGATACAGTACATGCAGCTTCGGTTGATTTTGTTCTTTGTTTTTTTGGTCTTTTGTTCAAGATCCTTTGTGTGAGGTCTGATTTTCAGCCCTCTTTTAGCTTTGCAGCTTCAATCTGGAGTCTGCGCAGTCTGGGGCCGAGACAAGACAGATTAAAAATCCTTTAGATTCCGAGACGAGACCTTCAAAATGTGGTCCCCAGACCGGTCTTGAGACCAAGACCAATTTTGAATACTCCAACACTACATAAAGTATATGAAAAAACTGGTTAGGGGTAACACTTGGAAAAGGAAATGAGGTGATTTCCCCTTCATCATGTTTTCTCCTCCTTTTTATGATGTCATTAATACCCACTAGTCTACGCTTGCTGCTGTGCTGCTGATGTGCATGTGTGTTTATCTTGCACTCATGATGTGTGTATGTGCGTCGCTGTTGGTTTTATTCACTAAACACAGATTTATATAACAAACTCCCTCATCTTCAGAGTGCCAGCCAAAACATACTGTTGACCCAGGGGCTCCGGGCCAGACCTGTGAGAGTGTGCATGTTTCTGCGTGTGTGTGTGTGTGTGCGTGTGCGTGTGCGTGTGTGTGTGTAGTCTAACAAAGTTATAACTGTGCATATGTAGTCAGAAGGCCAAATGGTGCTCTGTGCTAGAGGAGCTGCAGCAGATTAGCCTGCAGACAGAGAGCAGGATGGGCAGCTGTTGCTGTTTTCCGTCTCAGAGCATACAAGGTCAGGGTATTACAACAATATTAAAGGTTCAGATGTGCAGCAGACATGAAGATTAAGATCTGTGTTTCCTGTCTTTGTGGTTTCCATCTATAATTTCCCGTCTGCATGCTTGCTGGGTAATGAATTAGAATGACCTTGTTAGAATCCATTTATGCTGAATAGTCAGTTGAGATTTCATTGCTACAAGCAAAGGTGAAAGCCAAACGATTCTGCTTCAGAAACTCTGTGATCTGTGTTTTTCTTGCTTGTTTTCCTCACTCCCTTTTCCTCTGTGAACTGGAAAGTGATATGCAGAGGTTCGTTACTGTAATAAAAGGATGGAAGAGCTTAAAGTTCTTGTTCCTGCTGCCTCCAATCCAGAGGCAAAATAGTGTTCTATCATGAATTTCTTTTTAAATCGTAGACAACATAAACCGGCCCCACAGAGCGCACATTATTTATGGCTGAATTTCTACACCAATAACAACCATCAGAATAAATCCCATTTGTATTTCCACACATTTAACCAAAAAGTAATTTTTATGTTGATTCAAATAAAGTAGAGTCATTTAGGGTGACTTAGGTTTAGATACCAGGCATTTATTTTAAGCAGGCTTGTATAAGAGGAAGGCCTTTGTATTTAATTCGTCCTATTGGTCATCTGTTTGTACAAGGCCCCAAAAAATTGTAGCTGCCCCACCTGCCATCTGGCGGCTGTGGCTCAGTTGGTAGTCGGTCGTCTCTCTGGTTCGATCCTCAGCTCCTGCAGCCACATGCCCGATGTGTCCTTGGGCAAGACACTTAACCCCAAATTGCTCCTGCTGCTTTGTTGGTGGTGTATGAATGTGTATGAATTGGATTAGTTACTTCTGATGGTCACTTTACATAGCAGCCTCTGCCATCAGTGTGTGAATGGGAAGGTGTTAAAAGCACTTTTATAAAGACTTTTATTGGACAACTGGATATTATTTTAGAAAATACATGAAGCCTTGGTGCATTATCACATAAACTTGAGCATGATCGTCATAAATCAAACAATATAATTCAAAATAAAATCAAAAGACAGGTGCAAAGGAGAGCAATGTGTCCATCGAAAGCTTAAAGGTAAATTCCTGCACACTACCCGATGAATGTCTGGTACTGGAACACTGCCAATAAATGTTTATTTGCAAAGTAGTCTAGATAGTGTGCAGGAGTTTACCTTTAAGAACATATCAGCCAGCCTTTGTGTTGTTGATTTCAGTTTGGTCTTAATAAAATGAAAATAAATTATCATACTGTAACCATTTAGATGAAGGGTGAGAAGTCTCCAATAGTTCCAAACTCAACTTTTTGACTGTTATGAGTAGGTCATCCTGGTACTCATAATGTAGTAAATATTGACACAATAGTCAGTGTAAATGAACATTCTGTAGGTAACAGTAGTGAGTGACTTATTTAGTTGGCACTATATGGTTGCCAAGTCTGAGGACAATGTCAATGAGGACCATGATGCTAATTTCATTTTTAATCTGTTCACAGATGCACTGGGCTTGTGAGTTCACTTGATGTCAGCGTCCTCGGGGGATGGGAGGGTCTGCAAAGTCAAACAGTGTCTATGACCTTAGCTGAAACCTCCAGCTATCCCACTCATCATTTCTAACATGGAGGGTGTGGCAGTGGACAACCTCATAGACTTCGACCTGCCCTCAGGGGCCTCAACGCTGAGTGTAGACGGAGGTCAACAACAAGGCCACACAGACATTTTCTCCCCAGAGCCCAGGTCATCCACAGGACTTCATCAGCAGCCTTTACTGCCAGAGCCCATGGCACCCGCCCAGCATGGCTCTCACCCCCACCACCACCAAGAGGAGGGAGACAATGACAGCGATGCAACAGAGTCCGCAGACAGTGAGAATGACATGGACCCGCCCTCTGACGCGTGGGAGCTGAGGAGGTCGTCATCTTCGTCGGCGCACAGCGGAGAGGACGCTGACGCCGACACAGTGGAGAGGAGGAAGTTCATGAAGGCTTATGTGGAGAAGGTGTTTCATGGAAAGTAAGTCAATTCACAATTTTTTCTTTTTATATTGTTTGATGTACCGATTCATGGTCAAACCAAAGAGGTAAATAACTTCAGAATACTTCTGTCATCAGTCTGAAAATAATAAATATACATTTAAAGCCATTAGGTTTATCAACAAATCAGATTGCTGTCACTTCAATCTTAAGCTGCCGTTTGCAGTCGAAAAACTGTTCCACTTCCCCACTCTCACTCTCACCCCAGGTGTCCTTAATCAACTTAAATTACACAGCAATCCTCCAATAAGTGTTGACATTTGGGGTGCCGGTAGCCTAGTGGCTCCTTTCCTGCGAGTCGTTCCCCACTCTCTCTCTCTCCCCGGGTTATGACTCTATCCACCGTCCTTTCTCTAGAATAAAAGTCATTAAAGCCAAAAAATGTATCTTAAAAAATAATAATAATAAAATAAATAAGTGTCAAGCTTTGTCTCCAAACATGACACATGTTGAGCCTGATGAAATATAGAAAAAAACATTCTTAACTGCATCCTGCTATTAATGGCAACACTCTTTTGATATTAGTTCTGCTAAATTTGAGGTTGCTGTATTCATTTATTTATTTATTTATTGTTGCAAATGTCTCTCTCCGAGCTGTTCCTCCTGAAGCCTCCTAAATTTGCTCCCAAACTTCAGTCTGAACTTTCATGTTTAAGTTCCTGTGAATCCTCCTTAAATGTCAAGAGAGAAAAAGCAAGAAAAAAAATAGTGGATTAAACAAAAATACCATTTAGAGGCTACAGGTTATACAGGTTTGACGTGTCATATGTGATGAGGGTGTAGTACTGTACGTACAGAAGAAGAGCTTATTCTCTCCTTCAATATATGAAAGCTAATTGTTGAACAATTAATTGAACAATTGGAGCATGTGACACTTACAGTTCATTCTGGTACACACAGAGTACGTGAAGACAATTCAACCTTCTGTCAGTTTAACACACATAATGCTTTGATTTACTACATTTATCATTGAGGACTCCACAAAAAAAAAGTTTAAAAAAATAATTTTTTGAAGACCTAGGTCTAAAATACAACATTAAAAAAAAAAAGCAAATTTGCTTTCCTGCTGAGAGTGAAATGCAAAGGTGGATATATCTTCATGTTTGCATAGTCAAAATGAATTTACATGTTACCTGTATGTATGACCTGTTGGGATGCAATCACTTTTTCATAAGCATATGAAGAGTATATTTTTAGCAAATTTTTCCGTACAAATGTCTTTCACATATTTGTAGATCTATCTTGTTTTGGAATAAATCAGTGATGCATTTTTTACTGACTATCCCACTGACTGAATGTCCACATAGAGGGGTTATTCGTAACATGTTTCCTGTTTCTCATTCTTTGTCTGTCACAGACCTTTTCCAGTTATCATAAAAACCTGTCTCATAAATTCTGCAGTAAACACAGCCAGCTGTGAGAAGCCTGTCTTTTCACAGGGTCTGCAAATGAGTGCCATAACGACTTTTTTTGTTCGTGTTTCCACAGGGAGGACTTTGACCAGGAAGAGCAGGCTCGCTTTGGAGAGCTGTGCAGCGGAGAGAACGGCAAAGGTCGGGAGTGGTTTGCCAAATACGTCAGTGCACAGGTGAATATGGGCATGAAGAGGAAATGATGCAGTGTATGACCTTTTTGGAAAAACAACTATTCTATTTTAGTGCACTGGCATAAGAGTCATAGAAACGCCATTGAAAGAACTAATCGCCTGTATAGCCCAGCGGTTAAAGCATGTGCCCAATACACAGAGGATACAGTCCTCATTGCAGCAGCCACTACTTCAACCCTTTGCTGCATGTCTTTCTCCTCTCTCTCCTCCACCCATTTCCTGTATCTCTACAGCTGCTCTGTCAAAAGAAGGCAAAGTGTCAAAAGAACAAAATGTTGCATATTCAAGTCAATTTCTTTTAGATAAGTCGTGGAGTCCGTAATAATTGTTGGATTTTTATTCCTTCACCTCAGCTGATTTGATGTGATAATCTTAAACCTAAACCACCCTCTGTCATTCTTTGTTCACAGCGCTGCCACTCCAAATGTGTGAGTGAAGCCACCTTCTACAGACTGGTGCAGTCGTTTGCCGTCATGCTGTTTGAGTGAGTCTAAGATATCATAATCGTCTGAACCTGTGTAACTGTGAAGGGGATGCCGCACTTCAGTTTTCCCATGAAAATTGACAGAAATCATTTTATTCTACAGCCCGTTTTGCTTTTATTGGATAAAGGTTTAAATGCAAACTTTCAATAAAGTTTTTAGAAAATATTACTCAAATAAGAGCAAACGTGACAATTGAGACTTTTTTCAGCTGTGACACACACACACCCGCTGCTCCACATGTGGTTAGATAGGAAAAATGAAAAAATCAGTGTATGTTTAAGAAAATATCACCCTGTCATTTAGTGAGGGTTGGGTCTTTTTTTATTGAAGCTGAAAAAAATACATCATTACCACCTAATAATCTTTGTCATAAAAAGTCATTTATATGAATACAGTAGCAACAAGTGAAGACAGGATCAACATTACAGTGATTGTGTGTTACAGATGTTACCAGATGGATGATTACAGCCCCGCCAAAAACCTCATGACTATGTGCTTCACATACTTCTACATCGGTAAGATTTGATGATTACGTTGGTACTTTCTGAGATGGACCAGCGAGGCAGCATCTTGAAATGATTCAACCTTGTGGTCAACATTTTTGAGGATGCTGGTGTTGACAGATTTGATAATAGTCAAATCTCACCACCAGTTCTTGCTGAAGAATAAAGAAACCGCATAGAGCCTTCTGCTTTTGTTTTTGCTCTTTATAGAACATTATTGCAGCAGCTTCTTGCCCAACATCATTCTCTGCTTTGTTTGCATTGACTTCTACATGACATCATAAGATCATATAAGATCACAGTGTGTCTGTATGTTGAGCCCAAACCCCTCAGTGTGCTTTGTGCCATTGTTTATAAATGTTGTGTGTTTGCATGTCTGAGATTAGAGAGACAATATCTGTAAAGTTTCTCCTCGTGCGTGGGATTCAACCCCATTTCAAAATCAGTAAGGATTTGAAAAAGTGCCGTAGTATGAGCCCGGGATTAGAGGAGCTCCTCGTTTCAAACTATGACTTGCTATTCTTTCACAACACAGCGTGGTGTTAAGTACTTTCTTTGCACAACACAAGAAACCCTAAATTGCAATAGTGAAAAGCTGACACAGCAAAGTAAACAGAGCTCTGCATGGTCCAATGAAAATCACTCCCCAGTGATGATTCAGAGAGTGTAACTGGCACAGGTCGTCTCTGTGGTTTGTCTTGCAGACACACCGCAACACAAAACATGCTGCATGCAGGGACTTTGTGGAGCTGCATGACAGCAGGACGCAAGCAGGAAGCTTTGAGTGATTCGTGTAACACAGAGAACACAACATTCATTTCATCAACATCAGTCTGCAGTCAGATCCTGTATTACTCTCTATACACATAAACCTGCAGAATGCAGCTTTAAGGAGCGAAGAGAAAGGCTTTAAAAGGTCTCCTGCACATTTTACCTGCAAAGAATCTTGACCTAAAAATAAAAGAGTACGTGTGTCTGTTCAAAGTTATTCTGCTCCATCTGTATTCCACTCCACTGGCTCTACTTCAAGATTTCAAGTGCTGTGACTCAGTAGTGATCTTTCAGAAGACACCACGAGGGTACGGGGGAAATCTTCACCTTAGAAAACATTAGACAATTAAAGCGTTATACAAGCAACTTAGAAATTAATAATAATGATAATACCGTAAAACACCACATAAAAGCCCATCCCAATTTAAGGCCCAGTCCCTTTATACTAGCCTGGTGTTTCTATATGTTATGACAGATAAAGGCAGGTTCCAATTAGAGGCCCTTATGCATATAGTGTTGACATAAATTAGATTGTGGATCAAAAAATAAGGAAAAAGCACTTTGACACAAAAAATGAATCTGAACTACAATATCTGTCCAAGAATGAAAGGATAATTCTCTTACAGTATGCAGGCAGTGAAGCAGGTTTACATGCTGTCTCACAAATCAAGATCAAATTAGTGATCATTAAAATACATTTTTTTTCATTTAATTCTTGTAAAGCATTCATTGAGTATCTCTCCATTTGTAATCTGTATCAGATGAGGAACACTTTGTAGTTTGAGTCTTAAAGTGTATGAACACTGGCAGATCCATCCAAACCTGATGGTCTCTGAAAAGATTTAAAGACTGAGAAAGACGAAGTCCGCACACCAGAAGCAGCTCCAATAACCATTTAATGTTAATTATCACCACATGTAACGCTTTCTTTCTCTGTCTTTGGATTTGGTTTTTGTTAAACAACCAATACTGAACTATTTGGACGTGCGTGCTGTTTGATATTTTTGGATGAACTCTTTTTTTGTTTTTTTATTTCCCACTTACTGAGTTGCAGCAGTTTAACTTCATTCATCCGTTCACAAAGAGAAAGAAGAAAATATCTCAAATGTTTTTAAATAGAATTTAGCTTGTTAACAAAAAATGTAATTTTTATGAGCAGCAGAAGCATTTTAGTAGTTTTATCTGCAGTATAATGATAATCATGGCTACATTGGTATTTTTACAAAAAAAACTTCTTCTAATGGGTGTTCTCAAAAGTAGTATAAAAAAATGTGTCAGACCTTTAAAAAGCATGTTTCGGCTGTGCTTCATGAAACGCGATTATGTGATTTGAGATACGAACGTTCAACGTGTTGACATAAAAGACCAAAGCCTTCTGTTCAAAAATAAGAAATACTGAAGCTGTTATGGTTTTTATTTAAAATCTGTTTAAACAGGACAAATAAATAATAATAATTATTGGTACATTGTAACATGGTTAAAACATACAGTACAGGATAACCATAAGTTGTATATCTACCATTGATCGATTGTTTTGAACTCTCTGCTGTCCTCTGCTTTAGGGAAATCTCAGCCTTCCCCCTCTGAGCTGCTGGATCGGGGTCCTCCAGTTAGTCTGGATTCATACCTCAACAAGGCCAACTCCTGGCTGTCTGTGAAGAAAGGTGCAGCCGAGCGCCTCCTTAAAAACACGTCAAAGTCAGACGTCAAAGGTTTCTTTGGAGGCCTGGAAAACAAGCTGAGGAGCTCGGTGGCTACAAAGACTGAGTGAGAAAACGCTTCTCCTCTTCTGAAGTCTTTTTTTTTCATAGCATAGTCGTGTCTAGGCTTCAATCATTTTCTCTCTCCTGCTTTTTCATTTGTAGGGAAAGTGAAGGAACAGTTGAGACGAAGCCCAGATCACCAGGTATAGTGCATTTCAAATCAATGTGCTGAGATTATTACAATAATAGACAGTCCAAGGAGCGTTTTTTTTTCCCTCCTCCACTAATCTATTAGCTTGTACAAAATGTGATTGAGATGTTAACTGAGCTCCTCTTCCATCCCAGTGTCAGATGCTCCAGAGGAAAAGAAAAGTGAAAAGGTGTACCTTTACACTCACCTGAAGCAGCAGCCCATATGGTAAGTTAAGGTCAAATATTATGCAGAATACACTCTACTATGTTCTAACACTAATGTGTCCCTAGTCTGTCTACAAACCCCCCAAAGATAAAAAAATAAAATAAAAATAAATAACTAATCCATCCTCTCCATCTTGTGCCTGTTTCACTTTCCAGAAAATGTGTGCTCAAACAGGCCGTTTAGAGATTTTCCCTTTGTGACATCACAATAACCCCTCCCCCAGGTGGGTGACCCTCCCACAGCTAGGTGTTTGTTCTGCCCTCTGAGTCTGCCTTGTCACTGTAAAAAAAAGGGCATGGTGCTCACTTGCATTAAAAGCTACGGACACAGAAACAGCCTGTTCTGAGCTTGGCTGATAAAGAGGTGTTTTTAGGTACCTCTGAAACTTATTTAAACTTGTTGAAAAGGAGTTTAATGTGTGACCTTTAAGGGAAAAAAAGATCCAGTACAGCATCTGCCTTCCTTAAACAGTAGCCAAATGTGCATTTGTTATTTTGCAGTTTTAAGGTTCCTAGAGACTGTCTGAAGAACGTACAGAAATCAATCATTCAGGAACAGTAAAAGACATATTGTATTCTACTGAAAATCTGCATCCTGAATTTTAGATACCGACTCCAGGCTTTAAAGATTGAGATGGCAGCACTTACACTAGACTCTAATGGTGAAGCCCCAAACAAAACCCCTCAGATCAGCCCTGATTGAATTATCAATTTTAAATTATAATAATCATTTCAGCTAGAAGGATTTGGCTAGTGACCCCTCTCATCACAGCTTAGGTTTTCTTGTTTTTTTGGGGTGTAGTTTTTAGTTTTTAGGGGGCATGGGATGAAGGTATCAATCATTTGAAAAATTTTGAGAATTAAGTAAAATATTGTGTACAGTAATGTGTATTTGGTCATTTTAAACCTGGGCCTTGTGTTTTTTTGGGGTTTTTTTCAAAAATTTGGGGTCTAAATTATTCACCTTGAAAGAATGTCAGTAGATTCTCAGCAACAGGCTGTTAAGGCCGCAACATTAGCCAACCACCCCATTTAAGTGGGTTGGTTGATTAATGTTTCAGTGGGTTTTCAGCATCCTCTTATCTCTGGAACGCTGAATTGCTGTCTGCACAACAAATTTACCTTTGGGTACTTATTAGTATAAGTATAAGTAGTATAAGTCCACCTGTAAATAATCTTTTAATTCCCTCCAAGAACACATCGGTTCTAAATTCTTTCACCTTGATTACTTTCCCAGAACTTCATCAACTAATCTCTTCTATCAAAACCTCAACCTGCTGTCTAGACATTATTCCTACCAATCTCCTCAAGGACGTTACAGACACCGTTGGCCACTGTATTCTCTTAATCATCAATAGCTCTCTGGAAAGCAGTCATGTTTCCCAGTCATTCAAACATGCTGTTGTCCAGCCACTCTTCTCAATCTGGCTTCCGAGCTCGTCACAGCACTGAAACAGCACTTCTCAGAATTACAATTGACTTGCTTTTAGTTGCGGACTCTGGTAAATTCTCTGTTCTCCTACTGTTAGATCTAACTGCAGCTTTCGACACAGTTGACCATTCAGTTCTCATCCAGAGACTAAACAAATGGGTTGGGGTCTCTGGTACTGCCTTAAATTGGCTTTCGTCCTACTTATCCAACAGATCTTTCAGTGTTTCCATTGGTAACTTTTCATCCTCCTCTGCCCCCATTCCCTGTGGGGTTCCCCAAGGTTCCATACTTGGTCCAGTCCTCTTCTCCATTTACTTACTCCCGCTAGGCCAAATTTTTGAAAAATATAACATATCTTACCACTGTTACGCTGATGATACACAGATTTATCTCCCCCTGGAACCAAACAACTACAACAAACTCACAAACCTCACAAATTGTCTTCAAGATGTAAAATCTTGAATGGCCACAAACTTCCTCCAGCTCAACAACAAAAAAACTGAAGTTATCTTGGTTGGTCCACAGCACTTGGCAGACTCAATTTCACCCCATCTCGGCCCATTTTCCGATCCATCTCAAAATTAAGACCAGTCCTATGTTATTCCAACCTGGAGAAAGTTATTCACGCATTCATATCCACTCGCATCGATTACTGTAATTCACTTTATTTTGGTATCACTCAGTCATCTGTATCCCGCCTTCAGCTCATACAAAATTCAGCAGCCAGAGTCCTAACACGGTCAAAAAGAAGTGATCATATCAGCCCAGTTCCTGCCTCCTTACACTGGCTGCCAGTCAAGCTGAGGATTGATTTTAAAATACTTCTGACTGTGTTTAAGGCATTAAATGGACTTGCCCCCGCCTACCTCTCAGAACTCCTATCCCATATAAACCGGTGAGAGATCTTAGGTCATCAGCACAAAACCTTATGTCACTGCCTAGATCCAGGACAAGGTACAATGGGGATCGGGCTTTTTCTATTGCAGGACCAAAACTATGGAGCTCTTTGCCCCCAGACATCCGTCTCGCCTTAAAACATATTTTTACTCAATTGCTTTTAATGTACAGTAACCCATCAAGCACAAAAAACCCATAGCTCTGTTATTCTTGTGTTACACTGTAATTAACTGTCACTTGTTCTTTTTTTTTTATTGTTGTTGTTCTTGTCTGTTACTTTTTAATGCTTTGTTTCTGCAATGTTCAGCACTTTGGATCAACAATTTTGTGTTTAAAGTGCTGTATAAATAAAGATGTGTTGAGTTAATAAAGAAACCTTGAAACCTTGAACCTTAACTTCTATGTAAAACTAGGGCCCAGGTTGGTTCTGATGCTACTTAGACCTTTTATCAGGATGTATTGCGGTGTGCAGACTTGCTACATTTAGCATCCTTCAAAGCACTTTAAAGTAAATAATGTCGCAGACTGTGTGTGTTTATGATCTGGTGTGGAGAAACGTCAAGAAAAGGCAGATTTGACCAGATTTATGATTACATGACTTAATTCTTCAGTCAATCAGTGGTTTTCATTTGCAGCTTTGCAAAGACTCTGTGATCTGGATCAGGAAGTAAACCTGTAATCTGTGTTCTCTTGTCTCTCTCAGGCATACATTACGATTTTGGAACGCAGCTTTTTTTGATGCTGTCCATTGTGAGAGGACGAAAAGATCACCAACTACTAGGTGAGTCTGGATTAGTGGAACTATTTATTTATGACTAAAAATCTGACAAAGTCTTCTAGAAAAAAATAAAGCATGATAGGTTTGTTTTGTTCTTGTCACTTTCTGTCTATTCAAATTTAAAATCCTGAAGTGAAGTGCTGCTGGCTTCAACCAAAACCAACACTGCTGATAATCTCCTCCTGCCCTTCACCTCTTCTTCTCTCCTCATTTTTTCTCCTCTCCTCTCCTTTCCTCACTTCTCTACATCCCCCCCCCCGCCCCGTCCCGTCTACAAACTGTTGTTGTTCTCCTCCTTTCTGCATGTTGACTTTGACCCTTTGTCTCCTTGTGCCTTGCTGCCGAGCAGGGGAACGCAGGATGAAGAGAAGTCTGAGAGGTCTGTCCTTCTGTTTGTCCGCTGCCCTAAAACAATGAATAGATTAATAAAGGCAGAGAGGAGAAGAAGGACAGTAGGCCTGGCAGTTGTATCACCCATCTTCTAGGAAAACATATTGTGTTGTATAACCTGTCAGGTAGGATCAGTGCGGCAGACGCTTGGAAACAAATATCTGAATTGACATGAGACCTAGTTAAAAGATTTTGTTGGATGGGTTGTGCTTGTTGAAACAACCCCAACGGAGCCAAATTAACATTTGAGATCTTATGTGGCAAAATTGCAGCCACATTGTTAAACTCGGAGTTCTAGCACAGATGGGAATTTAATATTTACTGCGTCGCATTGGGTTGAAGGGGAACCCTCAAGGTCCAGAAATGACTCAGCGTCCAACTTTGAGTTTTCCTTCATGTGCTCTCTTAAAAAACAATAGGATGGCCTTAGTCTAGGACGTCAGGAAGTCTAGTTTGAGACACAGAGGTGTATTCATTAAAAGATATAATCTGCTTAATCCCAGCTGGGCAGTAATGTCCACATCACAGGATTAATGAAGTGGTTTTATTGTAATTACAGTTGGATTACTTTGTTTGAATATTTATTTGTACATCATTTGTTGTTAAGCTTTTTTTCTGAGTTCTTCAGAGGCTGAAATCCTCGTTTTCTTTCTGTTGCCTTTCATCTTCCTTCATTTAATTTCAGTTGGCATGTTGTGTGTGGGTGTCCTATAAGTGATGTGATTCACCTTGGTATGCTTTCATGCTGCTGTTGAAAGGATTTTTACGTGCCCATCCTTGATGAGTAAAAGCATCACACCCACATTTAATATCCTGATGTGCAATGAAAGCCTTGTGTAATGTCTGTGATGGTATTTATATCTGGAGCAGGAGACGGAGGCAGCAGATCCTCTGCAGTCTCTTCACAGCTCTCTGCATGTTCACACCATTCGTCTCTCTGCATGGGATTTTTTGCTCTCACCCCTTTCTGCAAATTTCCTATATGCAATCTCTTTTTCACTATCTTTACCAGCTTCTGTGTTTCACTGCAGACTGATTGCAAAGAGTTTAATGAACAGTAACCAGAAATGTGCACTTTAAACAGTTAAACACAGTCATTTCTGAGGTACCACTCTGCATTTTTGTTTGTTTTGGTATTTTTCTCTTTAATTTCTGCCAATATGCTTCATAATACACTATATCTTCACACTCTTATTTTTTTTTGCTGAAAATATTAACATTTATAAACTGTAAAAAGGAATCCTGGGATCTGATAGGTGAAGCTGATACAGAGGGGCCTTAAACGTGTGTTGTTTCTAATGACCAGCAGGAGGCGACTCAACTAGATACAAACAAGCCAGAGAGAAGTCACATGAAAGGAGTTTTCTTCTTCCCATATTCTTTCTCTATTAAACATTTTCTAATGATTTCATGTTCTCAACCACTACTTTAAGTCTTCTTCAATACAGCACGATGTTTATTTAGTAAATGATGGTCTTGGTGTGGGTCTGCTGTAGGACTGGCCACCTATGAATGTTTAGTTGCCTTAGTAAACTAAAGGAATGTGCTTTTTGTGTTAAGTTGATTTGAAGACAATCTGAGTAATTGGTTTTTCATTGGCTAAAATGATCATCCCATGCACAAACAGTTACAGTGGATGTCAGATGCACCTAACCTACCAAGCTGAGCTAGCTGTAGCTAGCATACTGTAACTGTTACTTCTCTCCAGCGCCATATTCTCATACAAATTGTGGTCATTTTTGGCTTAAAAAAATGTAGAAGAGCAAAATGCCACCCTCAAAACTTATGATTGGCGGTCCATAAAACGGGCTACAGCAATGACTATGTTGACTCTATAATACTAGAATCGACAAACACCAACAAAAATTAAAAAGCTATATGAATATGGTTATAAAATGTATTAAAGCTCTCTACTGGTCCCATCAGGTCATGGTTTAGTGGTTCAAACTGGTAGTGGTATGTTTTTCTACTTGTTGTCACAGCTCTTGTTATTAAATGTTCAGCAGTGCAAAGTTGCAGCGCTATCCCTCACCATTGTACGAGACAGCTAGTTGTCTAATATGGTTTTAGATATAGGCTAAGGATTTGTATGTTCTATAAAAGCCTAAGATTTCAGAATCAACACTTTTATTTTTATCTGCATGTAAATACTCAGTTCAGGACAGTGCTCCATATCAGAACAACCTTTCCTCTGCTTGTTACCAATGATGATTCTTTATGAATTCATCATTACCTGTTGTTTTATTATTTTGCTGAGAGCTGGTTGATGTGTTTTTGTTTTTTTTTGTTGCTTTTGATATTGTTTTAATGTGTTTTGATGCGTAATGTAGTCGCTCTTCTTGCATCTCGTAACAATAATCCGAGGTACAGGGGTGGATGTCATGGGTTTCTTTAGGTGGATTACAGAGATAGTTACCAATCTCAGAAGTTTCTGGAACAAAAGAAAGAAGCTGATTTGTGCCACATGTGAAAAACATATTTGAGTTTAGACTCCTAAGTCAGAATCTTAAGTTTAAAGTCTCACTCTCGTAAGGGTTTCTACCTTTTCTTGTGTTGATATTCTATCTCAGGTGGAGAATATAGGTGTAGTTACTGTATCAGTGGACATTATTGATCAATATGGCCATCAGACTGCCACTCTAGCATACAATCACTACAACATCAACAGAGATGAAATAATGATTCAGTACTGTGTTGGATTTCCTTTTAGGTTTTAGCTCCTGGCACCCGACTGCATAAATAAAGTTGCCTTGCCTTACTGTAACCCTGCCCCGCTCATATAGTCCTGGTTAGAGTCGCAGTGATTAGTTCCTTGGTATTGGTGTAAACACTGACACTTCAGTGGCACCCCAGGGTGTCAGACAGAAAACCTCAAACATTTGCTTTTGTACAATGATCTAGGCTTGAATGCTACATTTTTCAACCATGCTTTGACCACGTAGGGTTGTCCAATCACAACAGTTTGCTTGTGCAACCTTTAAGTATGATGATTAACTTGCAGCATCTTTCAACTCAAACATCATCATGTTTTACTTTTGAACTTTGAGCGCACTATTACACTTAATTATTTAGCAAACAGTTTAGTAAGAGAACATGCCAGCAAATGACTCCGATATATAAATATCTTCAAAAGGCCACAATGCAGTGAAGTGGGCTTTAAGTCAAGTTTAAAAACACACTCAAAGACATTTTTCACATGTTCGCTATGTGGCCCTGATCCTCTTCAGTATGAAATGATAATGATCTTAATGTCACGCATTTGACAGATTGGTGTAAAACAAGTTCCCGTCTGTTGTACAGCTGGAAAAAGTCAGAAAGACAATGACATGCAATATTTTCTGACATCCACCCCTGACCTGTTTCAGTAGTTCTGAAGGTCGAGTGGAGACTTTGGGATAAAAGCTGACTCTGAGTGTCTCTGTGCTGCAGGGAGAGGTGGTGTCATATGACCCAGGAGGAGAGGGACGACAGCTCCAAAATCGATGAGAACATCGCCTTCGGCCAACTCGGGTGAGGAAGAAGCCGCAGTAATGTCTTTAAACTAAAACAAGAGGAGGGCACGGAGAGGCTCCTAGTGGTTAAATAAGATACTGCGGTCAATAAGTGCCGTTATATTGACAAAGGTTATGTTGAAGACAAATGATGCGTCCTTTGTAATTTAATACTTAGATTACAGATTCTTTTGTTGTTAATTTTAAGTTAAATTTAAGAGCCCTACTTTTTAAATAAGTGTTCAAAATGTCCTCTTCCTTGAACGATGTTAAAACTTGAAATAAAAAAACTTGAGCATGAATCCTTTCACTGAGGACAAACTGCACACCTAAATGCTAATGATAATAATACATTTATTTTGTGTGTATTTCAGGACATTCACTCACAACATGCTGGCGTTTGGGCTCAGTAAGAAACTCTGCAATGACTTCCTGAAGAAGCAGGCTGTCATCGGCAACCTCAATGAAGGTAAATCATGAAAGGAACAATTCAACCTGAAACAATAGGATCATTATTGATTTGGTATCTATAGATATAAAGAATCCTGATGGATGGATCAATTTGTAATGTGTAACTATAAGTGAACTTACCAACTCCTTTTTTGAAAGCTACAGGTTGTCTGTTAGAGAGATGTCTGCGATGTCTGTGTATGTGCCTACATTGCCTTTTGCTTCCTCTTATTATCCAATCAGCATGTGTCCTGATTTGGAGTTTTGCATGTTGATAGCCGTGTAAATTGGGTCTAATGCCTGTTATGCTGTATAGAGTCTTCTAGTCTTCTGACTAGCGCTTTTACACAACAGGTCACACCAACCCATTCACACACTGATGGTAGAGGTTTCTATGTAAAGTAACCATCAGAAGTTACTAATCCCAGTCATTACACTTTTCACATGCCGACTCCACAACTGCTCCATAACAAAGTGTGTCTGTGTTTTATCTTTCTGCAGAACAGTACAAGCTGCTGAGCGACCACATTGAGAAGATGGCGGCAGAATGAGTTTGAGGAGGACAGGCAGCATTTCAAAGACTGACAGTGTACACACACGCACACACACGTACACACACACACACACATCAGCAGTTTGTTTTCACCTGAGCATCACATTAACCAACAGTCTGTCTCACTGTTGTTGCATTTGTGCGCTGTACTGCTAAAAATCAAAGTGACAAACATTACTGAACTGTATTATATTGTAGCAAACCCTGCCTGGTAGTGGTCCTCTGCATTTGTCCTGTTTTAGCAATAGTACGTCGTCTTTAGCTGGTGTGTACTTTAATATCTGTAACACTGCTGACACTGAGCATCTTCACAGACAAGAAGAGCACAAAGGGAAACCATCAAGAATAAACCTAAACAGCCCCAGTGTGGAGTCAGACTCTCTGGATGTATGTACATTACATATATCTATATATATATATCTGTGCTGTTTTAAACTCTGTGGTCCTTGGTAATTATATTTATTACAGGTAACACACCTAACAGCTTCTAATTTAAATAGTGTACTGAGTATCTATTGTCCTGCCTTGTTATTTTTTTTTTTTAATAATTGTGTATGTACAGTTCAACCTTAAATGGCAATGTTAACTCAAATATTAGTTGTTGTCAGATCAGAATAAATTACAAAGACAGTTAATTGAATTACTCAATACTCTATCATGCTCATCTGTGTTTTTTGTATAATGTAGTATCCTATGTGGCAGTTGACGTAGAAATATGTGCGTTTGTATTGTTTATCTTTATCTGTTGCATTTAAATTGACAAAAACATTATCTCTCCAAACATCTATACAGCACAAGTTTGATATCTTCTTGACAATTACGTTTATTTACTTTCATGCAGAGAGTTAGACAAAAAGGATAAACCCTGCTCATGCTAGAATGCCTAATATAAAACTACAGCAAGAAACAGTTAGCTTAGCTTAGCATAAGGCCTGTGAAAGGACAGAGAGATACAGCACACCTGGTTCATTCTAAAAGTAATAAATTCACTTATCAGCACCCCTAAAGCCTCTAAAATTTCTTTAATCCATAAGATAGAGTTCAAATTAAAGAGTGTGGAAATAGTGGGAGCTCTGTTGACTGAAAGTGCGCTTATTGTTTTAAAGGGAAGCAGGATAGTGAAGGTCCATGCTTGGCACTAGATCCTGCATCATTCATTGACATTTTATCTGCTTCTCTTAGCAGCAGAACAAGTACATTTTTTCCTGCCTTCGTGCTAAGCTAAGCTAACTGTAGCCATAGCTTGATATTAAACAGACGATGCTATCAATCTTGTTATCCAACTCTGGGAGGGAAAAAGAAACAAACAAACGAAGTCTTCCTAGAAATGTTTTCAATTCCAACTGTGGGACATATTTAATATACAGTGGTATAGATATTATGAGGTTTATTTAATAGAGACTTCCTTATACCTTTGGAAACATTGCCAATCCCAAGTGCCTTCAATGAAAGTTATTGGCCTCCACTCTATCATTTGATGCTATACCCTTTTTTTGCTAATTACACCTTAGCATTTATGCATTATTCATCTCTTATTTTCATTCCCTGCTATGTAAACGTCCCCTGCATGCAAATAAAAGTCTTACTATCTGCGCTCCCATTGTTGGATCTAAGTGGTAGTCCTTTTAAATCCCTGCTCCATTAGTATATTTCTGTAAATACCCAGCATGTGCAGCCCACACCAAGCAAATGTGAAATTGAACTGTGAAGTGACAACTGTATTACTTCATCTGACCACTATGGGGCAGCATTGTGTCTTCATTCAATTCCCTTCCCAGGGAGAGATTCCTTAACCCACTTTAACAAATTCCTTCTTAGCTATATGAAGACAATATGAATCTGGGATTTTTGAACATAATTATGGTTATGTACATGTGAATACCAGGGTGATGCACTTTTTGACAGGTCGATCTTTTTCAGATTGATAATTTGTTAAGCGATTTTGTAAATAGTGTAAATGTTTATTTTTGTGTTGTGAGAATTAATCATGTGCTGTTTTGGTGAATTCTCGATCTTTAATTGTAAATGTATAAACTGTAGCTGTAAAAGTTCCAATTAGTGCCCAACTGTAGTCATGACCCTGAAGTGCTTCTGAACATGTAGCCTCTGTTTGATGTGGCCGTTCAAAGTATGTACATAGTGTTGTGAAATTATGACCCATTTTAAATGTACAGTTAAAGGTTCTATGATTCATATAGAAAGCCATGAAAACCTCTGTATCCTGCAAACTGTTTTTAACGATTCAGTTATTTCTCCAAAGTGTCTCTTTGCATGTGGTCAAAGTCAATATTTAAAACTTTGAATCATATTCTTAGACTTCTTAGATCATTGTGTTTTTCTCTGAAGTAACAACCTTTATCTGTTTGCTCTGCGCGAGCCCTTTGCACTACATGTAGTCCATACATCCACTCTACACATCCTCTTGTGAATAATGTTACACTGGTTATTGCTTTTATATTTGTTCAGTGCATGCTGTCTCTCTACAATGGGCATATCTGTTGTGAATTGTTGACCCAAGTTTGTCTTTTATTGCCTGGAGGTATACTCACTTTCAACCATGCTGACTTTGTGTAAAGTATCAACAAAGCAGAATATATCATTAAAGTACAAAAAAAACATTTTTGTGGGATTGTCCTCTTGATTTACTCATGTAGTATGAGAATGTGGTCTCCAACAGGGGTGGGCGATACCGCACAGTTTGGTGTCAATCCAAAACAAATTTACTCAGAGCCAGAATTGGTGAATGTATCAACAAGGGCTATATTTAAATACTTGACTTTTTCCAGTCCCCTAAATGATTTGCAAAAAGTTTTGCAACCATTTTAAAGCTGAGACTATTGGATAAGCCGTGCTGGGGCATGATGTGCTGTATGAGTGTCTTTGACAACAGCCAAGAAGCAAGTCTTCACATATGTTTCAGATTGCTTCTTCTATCAAGAGGTCTATGTAGTGAAAGCTGCTAAAAAACAAAACAAAATAATTAATCAATAAATCAATCGGGCATTTCAAAGTGGCAGGATGTAAAGGTTAAACAATAAGAGACCTAATATTGAACCCTGAGGAACACCACCATTCATATGAAAGTTTTGTGATAAAAGATCCATCTATCCATGGGTACAATATGTTTTTTATACATTTGAAATAGTATCTGAGAGGTCTATCAAACTTTTAAGTCTACATAAAAGAGTCAAGGGTTCCTGTGAGTTAAAATTTCACTCAAAATGAAATATTGGATTTTTTTCTATAGACATTTGAGACTGTTGCATCAAAAATGTTTAAGAAGTTTAACCATGGTGGCCTTTAACCAATAGAATAAGCACCCTTTTGAAGAATATAGTCTCAAACAGTAAGTATTCACTAAAAGGCAATAAGCTGTTTTTAAAAATGTAGGAATTGGATATGAAAAAAACGTTGTGGATTTAAATATAAAAAAATGTTAATGTATCTTGAAGTTGAAGATGCTAACAGCACATTTTACTATGACCATATAACTCAAAATATAGAATGTACTACAAACTTTAATATTTCTTTAACATAACTATTATTATATTGATCTCTAGGAAAGTATTGTTGTTGCAGCATAAAAATTCAGGTTGAAAAAAAAATGGTTTCAAAAAAATGCACAACCATTCCTTTTTCTTAGTGTGTGTATGTGAGAGCTTGTATATGTCTGTGTTAATAAGAACACTGTGTTGATTGGGACTCGTTGTAGGGTTACAATGTGCTGGAGTGTTCAGTGTTTGAGGTTGTGTCGGAGCTGCCCCAACTCTGCCATTTCAAGCCCTGTGTGTAAATAAACAGCAGTCACGCTGGCTGCGCTCTGATTGGACACCATGTAATGAGCTGTGAAAGGCCAGTCAGCAGTGCCACACCATCCTCCATCTAATTAATACCAGACTTCAACACACATGACACTGGCAGTCATGTTACATGTTAGTTACATTTGTCACATTTTCTTAACATGAGGTTCTCCATATGACGTTTAGAATGAGTAAACAAATCACAATGAAAGCTGCAGCCCTTTTGTTCTTTTATGTGCAAATGGTAAATTCTTTTTTTTCATACCTAGTTTCTTCAATGCCTTTCTATACTAGACGGTAACTTTATAAATGCCTTGTGTGACCTTGTTAAAATAAAGTCACATCTTGTGTCACTCTTACAGACTTGAACATTGTCATTTTATCTATGCATTACATTTGTTTTCTTGTCTTTTTGTCTGTATATGCTAAGATGTATTGAGTTCTTTCACGCTGTCATTTTGGTCTCATCATAGCTGAAAGATTATAGCACTTAAAGGTGTACTGTGTAGATTTGGTAGTTAAATTTGAAAGTTGGAGAATTGAAACATTCTATGCTATATATTCTGAACTAATTACACAGACTTTACTCGAATAAAAAATGGGTCCCTGGAACACTGTTTGGAGCTAAAAAGTTACAGTTTCACTGATGCGGGCCCTCCATCATAACTTCTCGCGTAGCATTTTATGTTCAAACAATTCCAGGGACCAGATTTTCCTCTGAGGACAGTTTGTATAGAGTTCTGAACATATACCCAAAAATCTGTACATTTCTCCAACTTTCACATTTCTTTACCAGAAACTTCCCCAAGAAACTAAGAGCATTTTGAATTATTTATGTACATAACTTGTTTTGGCCAAGCGTAAACCTCAGGGCTGAATAATGAAGCCAATATGAATGCGGCCAAAACTGCAAATCAACAAATGGCCACTTGAGGCTGGCTCCTTTAGTGTGTCAATCCCCATAGAATACGTAAAATAGTAAATATAATAGTCAAATACAAAACTTTACAACATAAATATACAGATTTAGAGCCTGGTACATACACAGTCTTGGGGCCTATACCCTGGGTATCTTTAGGTTATCTGGTTCTACTAACCCTAACATTAGAGATCATGCTTCACATTAAGCTGGTAATCAACCTGATAGGTAAACCCAGAGTTTCAGAGAGCACGTTCACATAGAAGGGGCTGAGTTAGCTTCATATAACCTATCACAATCATCACTGAGTCTGCCGTCAGCAGATCGTCATATTTAACAAACTAAACAAACTATAATACAAATATGAAGAAGTTTAAGACAAATAGGCTCCCAAAGACTAAAGCTACACAGCTGCAGCAAAAAGGCAGGAAGGACAACTGGCTTCTACCAAAGAAATATTGGGGAGTATCAACGTGCAAACTACGGCTTATTACATTTTTGTCCCATAGTTAGTTCCCCTTAGAACTGACTATAATAACTCCTGTTTTTTCCCTTAACTGAATTTGTTTGTCTGAATCTTTCATGTGGCGTGCCATGAATAACAGTTGTAGAAGTTAGGCTATACTGCAGCTGCAGCTCTGACGATAACAAACAGAGCGAGATTGAGCCATTAAAAACTAATATGAAAATGTAATTCAAAGTCATAAGTTGGTTAGTCATTATTTGACATCTTAAAAACACAACTAAAAGGTTCCGGTGCTTTTCCAGTCTCTTTTGAAGGATGAAGGACAATATCAGTGAAAAATGATTTTTCGCCTGTAATATAACATTTTACAGGACACATAAAGTGTTTGTCTCTCTCTCTCTCTCCTCCCCTCGCTCGATCAGCTCACAGAGCTCCACGATCAAGAAATCTGATTGGTCAGTGGGTGGAGATTTTCCCAGGTTGATGTCTAATCTCTAATAAGACTCTGGAGCATGTTAGGTGTGCAGCATAAATTACCATGGCGATATATAATCCTGCAGGTAAGAAGTGAACCACCTTTGTAAGACTGAAAACCTAGAAATAACCTTGCTAACCCCAAACCCTTGGGCTAATTCATGTGTTCTGACTACTATTCAGGCATTGAATTGTCATTTTTCATAATGACTCACTCATTTAAATTCTATTGATTCTAAAAACGTATGCACAATTTACGGCATAAAGATTTTGAGTGTCAGGTTGTTAGTGCAAGCTGTCAGTCAGATTTCAACTTATTCAGTCACTGAACTTAACCTCTTGTTTGTGTATCTGGTGGCTTTTGTGATTGTGTTTCAGGCAAATATTTGACAAAAGTGTGGCCATATAGGTTTTGCACCACAAAACAGGCCAACATAGAAGTTTGTGCTTCAGCTTATTTTGGTGAGTGGAATTTCATTTTTAAAGATTTTTTAATGCAAGATCACTTTGTCCTACAAGCTCTCTCAGGTTTTTTTCTGAAGAACAAGTCTAGTCAGCTACCACAACAGACACGTTCTAATTCTTTGTAAACACTGTCATTAACCAGCTAATGGATTGTTTAACTTTATAACCAATAACTTTAAGTTTTAATTCCTTCCTTCTTTCCTCTCCTCCAGAAATGATCATTTAAGAATAAAAATATAAACAATACTGATTTAGTTTCACAGAAGCTGTATGATGTTTTTTATTTGTTCTATGGTTTCAACCAAAGACATTTTTTCCGTTGAAAAGATGAAAAAAATCTCTGGCCACCTTTTGAAAAGACAATCAAAACTGGTTCAACAGTTTGAATTGTTTCACCAACTATTTAAGGATGTTGATAAAATGTTTAGCCTAGATTTTGCTGGGAAATCTGTTTGAAACTGTTATCTTTACAGAAACTCTGAATGGTTCTGAATGGTTTGTTAACTTTACAGCCATTAGCACGTCATATTTACGATTTTTGTATGAAGAAAAAGATGCATTGAAATCTTTGCATTAACAGGATTTCACCACCAATACAATCTTGGATGATAATTTTTGAGGAATGGTAAATGGACTTGAGCTTGTATAGCTTTTCTAGTCTTCTGACTACTCAAAACACTTTTACACTGCAGGTCACACCTTCACATTCACACAGTGATGGCAGAGGCTGCTATGTGAAGTGACCATCAGTATTAACTAATCCCATTCATACACATTCATATGCCGCCAACGAGCAATTTGGGGTTAAGTGTCTTGCCCAAGGACACATCCATGGCTGCAGGATCTGGAGATCGAACCCTAAACCTTCCAGTTTGGGTAACGACGACTCTACCAACTGAGCCACATCCAAAATGCCACCACGACGATCATTTTTGTCCTCCTTGTAACCCTAACATGTAATGGTAATCAAAACTATACAACAAAACTGTGCTTTGGTTACATGTTGATGTTGTAACTTTAGCCAGACGCTAAATGCTTGAGAGAAGTCTTGGACTGACCGACCCCCTTTCACCCTGTTTAAATCCAAATTTCAATGTTGAAACCACGTCAAGTGCTCACTGGGAAGTTTCTCACGAATAAAAAGGGAACAAAAAAGGTTTGAAATACAGTTCTTTGCTGCAAGCCCCTCTCCAATAAGAGCTCTACAAAGATTACACAGGTAAACACAGGAAACAATCCCTGGCTCCTGTGTAAGAATAGCCCAAACTCAAAGGTGTAGGCTTTCAGTCCAATGAAGTATGAAGAATAATTCAGATTCATTTTTAAGGACATTAAGTGACCCTGGTTATTCTCTTCACCAATTTCAAGATCAAAGTTTAGATTTTTGTTTTTAATATTCAGGCCTACTTTTAATGGTTCAACTCTGTATGGTTCATAAGGGACATTAGTTCAAGTATTAAAGCACACACACACACACACACACACACACACACA